TGGAGGATTGATATAATTGCTATGATGTGTCCACCCATACCAGTTTGGGATTATTGCATGTTCATCCCTGTAAAGCTGCTTTGACACAATCTATACCCTATAAATGACTTGAACTGACTTGATTCACAGAGTCAAAGTACAGCAAGATAAGATAGGTCAACCATTGAATCCACTCTGGGTGTATGTGGAAGTGAGTGCAATATAACTGTGAACTGCCCTGTAGAATGGACAAGACACAAAGGCTGTTTCTCAATTCCAAGAAAGCAGAGAACGGACTTGCGTTCTTGTGGAGACCGGTCCTGCCAGGTGTCCTTGGAAGAACGAACTCAGGAGACCGCGAGGACAGAGAACGCGTCCTTTGAGAAATAGAATGCTGCGTTCTTCCTGATGGTCAAGTGACCTTCACACGTTTTAAATGGAAATTATTTAAATATTACAGCATTCATACAACGATTTATTATTTCCCCCCTCTTCATAATGTATACTTTGCATAAAAACATTATAAATATACTCTGCACAATATGATTAAAACAATTTTTAATACGGATTTCAGCCAACAAACCCTTAAACACCCTTAATGTGTTTATTCCTTTATTAAGATATTCATGTTAATGTTTACTTTCACCGTTTCATTTAGGGAAACTCTTGAGGTAAATAAATGATATCTCTGAACTTTAATAATAAATCTAAATAAAATGCTGCGCTTCTCACCTCCAGTCACAATGACTTCTGGGACTTCCAGAGCGAGTTCGGTGCTCAAGTCTGCATCAGTGCGTCCTCGATATCAAGATCACATCCTGGAAGTTTCACGCGTCCTCCGTACTTGCTGTCTTGAGTATTGGAACTGAACTTAGGCAGCTGATGATGACGTTGCACGAGGACGCAAGACCGCTGAAGAACGCATATTGAGAAACACCCCATGAGACCCTCTGATAGAAAGTTGGATAAATCACCATGGAGTCATCATAAGCAAGTGTTGCAGCCTTAATGTTCCTTCAAGTCCTTAGCAATAAGTGGTAAACAGATTTTCCTTTCCTTGAGCCTGAATGATTCTATAGGACAGGGATCACAAAACTTGTTCCTGGAGGTCTGGTGTCCTGCAGATTTTAACTCAAACCCTAATCAAACACACCTGAACAAGCTAATCAAGGTCTTACTAGGTATACTTGAAACGGCAAGTGTGTTGAGACAAGTTGGAGCTAAACCCTGCAGGGCACCGGACCTCTAGGAATGACATTGGTGACCGCTGCCATAGGATAACTTCAAAACATAGTCAAAAACAGAATTCATGTCTAGACATCAATGTTGCACATGTTCACATGTTGAGGTGCCACCAACTGTTGGATGGTCCACTAAGCTATCAAGATATCAAGTGGCCAGCCAACCGTGCTGCCGTATAGTTTCTCCCCATTAAAGTGCTTGTTCAGAAAGCACTATGAAATACAGAATGTTTTTGATCTCTCGGTGAGCACATGATACAGCTGGATTTAAAGGGCAACCAAACTTTGAAGCTAAATCTATAACAGTCTTCCTCAGAAACATTGTAGGGCACTGAATTGACTATGGGATTAGTGATTTCAGAAGGAGAACTAGTGCTGGTATGCATGAAAGTGTTTTCTGTTCAAGAGGTGCTACTAGATGTGGATAGTGCAATATGAAGTGAATCCACAATGTCTTTCTATAGGTGAGATGTAGGCGTAGGTCAGGTCAGAGTTTCTTTAAGGTTAAAGACCAAACCAAGATAAATATTGGTGAAAATGGATGAATACTGTGAGAAGGTTGATGTGATGATTAAATATATGTCTTTACCAGGAAGTAGGACATATACACAAAGAGAAATAAGAATTTTAAAAAAACCATTACAATACAGGTAAATTATTCCAGGAGTACATTTAACACTGAATAATAACAGGTTGCAAAGAACTTGGAGACTGGTGACAGGGAGCTTTGCTGGATTCACAAGGGAGATCGCTGGATTGAAGGTAGGTTTACAGGTATTGACAGGAGTGAGAATAGGGGCTAAGTAGTCTGTTCAAGACAAGGCAGACAGGTGGTAAAGAGTTATGCCTGCTTTTATGAAGGACTGCCTGAATGATTTGAGGTAAGTGTAAGCACCATGAGTTTTGCTAGTACATTCTAGTGAATTGTATGTTCGAACAGTGTAGATTTTTCAAAAATAAAAATCCTGCATGGTATTTAGTCTCATGAAACTCTAATAGCATTCAATGTTTTCATATGTATATGATTATAATATGATTATTTTACCCAACAAGATCCAAGTGACACACAAACAAACATGAGACAATAGATCAGATCTAGATACAACCTTTATTGAGGGAAAGGACAATGTGATACAGGAATCACAAGCCTAAAACGAAACAAAGGAATATCAGTTACTCAATTAAAAGGAGGAAAACAGTACAAATCAGATGTCCATGAAAATAGTCTTTGGGACACAAAAACACTACAAACCTGACACAGAAAGAACACAAAAATAGTCCATATCATTTGTGCATATTATTTATATATATATTATATATATATATTATTATTATATTATTATATATAGGTTCTGAAGTAAAGTGACTTTGTGATAAACAGCCTGGGATTTAATTGCTACTTAAAGTCTTGCTCTGCCTCATTCAAATCTGGGGTGCATCACATTAGAAGGCACATTGGCACAAACCTCAATAGTTCATGTTTCCATCATAAGGACAGGTTCTATGTAAATATGTGAAAGTAACCAAGAACTCTCCATCTTCATAAAACTCCATCAGCATAGTAAATACAAGTCTCACAGTGTTGCTTTAAAGGTGCAGTATGTAAGTTTGACACCCATTGGTTCAACTAGGTATCCAGGTATCCTGGATCAAAACAAACGCAAGAGAAGGTTGCCAGATTAAAGACCAATAAGGCTAATTTAAATTGTGTTCTAAATAAAAGCAATGACATGCGATAGAACAAATATTTTCCATATTAAAAGTTTTTGTTGTAACCAACACCTGAAATTTATATTTTAGAAACTGCTTTTATTTCTTGCAACTAAACAACAGAAAACTATGACAATGATTACCTCAGGTCCACCTCATGTGCTTTATTCACTGTTAAATGCTTATAATGTGAGTTTGAATGCCAAAAATTCACCACAGATCTTGAAAATAAAATAAACCGCTTGAAATTGAACTTTAGAACTGTAACTCAAAATCAACATTTAATAATGTTAAAAATGTTTAATATGTATTAATTAGATTATAAACCTCACCATTTCATGAGTGAGTGCATATTCTGTGCTTTTGAATGGCTGTATATCAGTTTCTGTAGTGTTTCATCTGGTGCAAACAGCCAAACTGCTTATCACTGCAAATCTCATCATGTAGCATATTGTTAGGACACAGAGTTACAATATAAGCTGCTCACCTAATGTTTACATTCATAATATTTATGTTATTTGCTAATTAATAACCTCATGTGGAACTCTGAATCTGCATCTCATTTGGAGTCTGTAACTGTCTTCCATATCTCTGTCACAGACGCATATGCTTTGAGAGCCTTTCTGAATAAATGCGCTGTTTGACACAAAGGCAACCTGGGGTACTGAAATATAATTGGCTAAACTCATACCTGTCAACAGTGGGGTGGGATGGGTGGCTGGTGTTGCATGTGCTGGGGTCCCTGGTTTGTATGCACCAGATTTCAGGCAGCCCATGCGATCAGATATTATACCAAGGTCGGCAATTGAGGGGTGTGGGGGGGATGGAAGCTAAAATTATGGGAGTTTTCTGGGAAACAGAACAAAACTAGGCATGGGACTGAAATAGGGGAGACTACCGGGAAAAACGGGAGTGTTGGCAGCTATGGCTAAACTACCATTGGGCAGGTTAAAAGAACCAAACAAAGAGAGTGTTCCGGCAAGGAAAACACACTTTCAAAGTAGAATATCTGACTTCAGCATTGATTTTCAGAAAAACAAGAATGTTCACTTGGCATGTTTCTTAAATATCTGCAAACATATTGTGGTATTTTAATGCTTTAGAAGAGTCAAAAACTTACATACAGCACCTTTGGAAAATGGTTGGTAATATGGAAACATTCTATTAATTATAACCACAGTGATTATTAATTCTTTTTGATGTTTCTGCTGTTTATACATAATATTATTCTACCATTATAAAGTTGTGATTTTAAAGATCACCAGAAAAAAAAAAACATTCAAATATTAAGAGATTTCTGTCCTTGACCACATCTTATGGATGGTGTATTGTAAGGATAGAATGTGTAAAACAGTAAAGTTTTGCTTCATTAGATAAATGCTTATACTGCAGATAAATATTAAGCATCTAGGGACCTTGTGCAAGTCATCCATGTCACATTAGGGACCACATGAGCAATTTAACCATATGTGACAGATATTAATAATGGCAAAAGCTTTATGCATGGCCAGAAGTAGTAGTTTTTAAGTTTCAAGTTCCTTTAAAAATGTTTAATGGATAGTAAACTCCTGACTTGTTGGCATTCAATCCAATTATACAGGGTTGGAACAGGGTTAGAACTGAATTCTGCAGGTCTGCGGGAACTTAAAAAAAAATACCATTGCAATTGACAATATATCTCACACAACAATTTAAGTACATTTTTAGTCCATCATAACAGTTATGTTGGTTATTGTAACTAATTGTTTGCAGATCTAAACTCAAGCTGCGGTCACACTGGGCTTTTCCTTCCATAGACTTCCATTCATACACACACGAATGCGTCATACCAGAATCGTAAGGTCATGTGTCAAGTTACGAAGGTTGCTGAGGTGCAAAGTTAAAGCTTGGTGAACTCTAACCTGTGAAATCGCATCATTTGACTGCGTGAGACCAATCGAGGATCAAAACATGACCTCTCTGGACAGAAATTTAAAACATGGAGCTATCACTTGCTTTTTAAAATGTCTAACAAGCTTGTTTAATCCTGCCCGTTTTCACAGCGCCACATGACATCACATGCTCAAACTCTAATGTGACCGCAGCTTTACTCTTTTTTTTAGGGGAGGGGGGGTGAGCCAAAGTGATTGACAAAATCTGTAAATAATATTAAATGGATCAAACAACTACACCTCTAAACAGGAGTAATCCTGCGATTCAAATTGTCTTTCACATCTTTTGGGATGTGATTGTGAAATTTCCTGAAGTTGTGGTGCTGAAGATCAGTATTATAGGACACCTGACCACCTACCAGCAGTGGATGTTCTCCCCCTAACGCATACATAGAAATATCCACCAAAGGCAGCGAAGAGCTGATGACACCGTGTGTGACAGGGGAGGTGTTTTTAAATGGATCTCTGGATTGAGAACAGGAATGGGACCGTTGTTGTTTGTAATGATAGCTTGGGATAGTTGTGTAAATAGAGGATGAGGGGGAAGGGGTAGTTTTATTAAACACAAAGTGCTTGAAATGAACCTCTTTGTTCTTTTCAATGTAGATGTTAACTGCCAACACAGCAATGGTCTCAGCTAGAATAAAGGAGAGTACACCTGAGTAGAAGGACCACCCATAGCTGTATAGGTTTTTCTTATCTTCTCCTTTCTTGTCACCGGGGTCTCCAGCATTACTGGAGATGTAGACGATGATGCCAATAATATTGCTGAGACCTGGTTAAAAGAGAAAAATAAGCTTCTAATCACCTGAAAAAGTCATAACATTTTTTTAAAAGTCATAAGATGTTTTTTTCCATTTCCAAATTGCAGCAGTTCTGTCTTAAAAACTATATCAATGTAAAAAAATTAGTGAATGATTATTCAAAATTTAACAAATTAGTGGAGTAGTCTTTATCAAGCAAGCAGAGAAATGCATGTTATTGATATGCAGCCTGATCTCACAAGGAAACGTAACTGTTTTACATTTTGTCAGTTTAGTGGCTAATGTAAACAAATTCATACTAGTTTTGTTGTATGAAAATGTATGGCTTTTAAAAGAAGGCATGACACCAAACCCCACCCTTAAACCCAACCATCATTGGGAGATAAGCAAATCATTCTAAAAGGTATAAATGAGATCGTACAAATTGATACAAATTAGCCTTTGAATCAAAAAGTTGAGATATGTATCACTTCAAATATATTTCAGTTCACATGCTGAAAATGAACAAATTACAAAATTTTAACATGTATTTCATGCATTTATGGCAAACTGTTTTTGTGATTTACCTGCAGATACAAAAAGGATTCCTGCACTCAGGGTAATGTTATTTCTGCTGCTGTAAATGTGACCTATCCCAACACAAACTCCTCCCAAAAGAAGCAGGATGGTACTCAGAATGGGGAAAAGACTGGATGCTCGAACTAAACCTGCAACACAAAAAAAAATAAACATCTTAGATAACCATTATATGAAATGTAAACAGAATCAGATGTAAGCCAAATTTCACCGGTATAAATGCATTTTAAAAGATACCCATGTTTTCTATTCAGTATTACAGCTATTTTATTTATAGTTCATAATAGAATACGAAAACACTGACAAATCCTATGACACCAGATAATGACAAATATTCATTCATTCATTCATTTTCTTGTCAGCTTAGTCCCTTTATTAATCCGGGGTCGCCACAGCGGAATGAACCGCCAACTTATCCAGCAAGTTTTTTTTTTTTTATGCAGCGGATGCCCTTCCGGCCGCAACCTATCTCTGGGAAACATCCACACACACATTCACACACCCACTCATACACTATGGACAATTTAGCCTACCCAATTCACCTGTAACGCATGTCTTTGGACTGTGGGGGAAACCGCAGCACCCGGAGGAAACCCACGCGAAGGCAGGGGGAACATGCAAACTCCACACAGAAACACCAAGTGAGAAACACCGACCTTCTTGCTGTAAGGCGACAGCACTATCTTCTGCACAACTGCCTCGCCATGATGGCAAATATTAAAATTATATTTCCATATGAGTAAGTTTTACAATTGTTGTGTCTACTTAAAGGGGTAGTTCACACAAAAATGAATATTCTGTCATCATTCTACTCTCCCTTCACTTGTTCCAAACATGTTTAAGTTTCTTTCTTCTGTTGAACACATTTTTATATATTTTATTTTCAGCTTAGTCTCTTTAATAATCTGGGGTCGCCACAGCGGAATGTTTTACACAGAGGATGCACTTCCAGCTGCAACCCATCTCTGGGAAACATCCATACACACTCATTCACACCGGAGCACCCGGAGGAAACCCATGCGAACGCAGAGAGAACATGCAAACTCCACACAGAAACGCCAGCTTACCTTCTTGCTGTGAACCAACGGCACTACCTACTGCGCCTCTGCGTCACCTCTGTTGAACACATATGAAGTTATTTTGAAGATAGCCGAAAACCTGTAAACATTGACTTCCATAGGAAAAGCAAATAATAAAGATGTCAATGGTTACAGGTTTCCAGCTCTCTTAATATTTAAAATGGTTTTTAAGTTGAAGAGGGTGTCACAGTGGCGCAGTGAGTAGCACAATCGCCTCACAGCAAGAAGGTTGCTGGTTTGATCCCCGGCTGAGTCAGTTGGCATTTCTGTGTAGAGTTTGCATGTTCTCCCGGTGTTTGTGTGGGTTTCCTCTGGGTGCTCCGGTTTTCCACACAGTCCATATACATGTGGTACAGGTGAATTGAATAAGCTAAATTGGCCATTGTGTGTGTGTGTGTGAATGCAAGAGTGTATGTTTATTTTTCCTAGTGTTGGGTTCCGGCTGGAAGGGCATCCACTGCGTAAAACAGTCGGTGGTCCATTCCACTGTGGTGACCCCTGACTAATAAAGGGACTAAACCAAAATAAAATGAATTAATTAATAAGTTAATAACTTGAGGATTAGTAAATGTTATTTTTTGAGTAAACTATACCTTTCAATATATCTGTCACATATGTGCACTGAAGTATGTTCAAAACTGAGCACTCTAGAAACTATGATTTAACGTACAGGTATTGGTGACATCTGACCCTAAGTTCCTTAATGTTAGTATTTGGTTCCTGTTTAGTTTTTCTGGAAAAACATGCACTGTAGAAACATTGCTTTTTAAATGATTAGTTGACTTTACATTTTAAAAGTTAGCAAACCAATTACCTAAATGAACAATATGCATTATTATAAAAATTAAGTTAAGTCAACTTAACAGTTTCATACACCAGGTTTACTAACTAATCATTTTTTAAAATGTTGTTTTATAAAATTTACCATTATTTATTTAATACCATAAACTATATATACATAACATATATAATTTGTATTGTTTTATTATCACACTTTGTCTTAAGGTACAATTAAATTTTATATTAATTACAAATTGCTTTATATGTATACATTAGAAGAACTGAAAACAACCAAACATTTCCTCATCATTTGAGGAGGATGTTCTCACCCTTCATTTGTTCCAAACCTGTCAGAGTTTTTCTTTTGTTGAACACAAAGGAAGATAATTTGAAGAAAGGTGAAAAACTGTAACCACTGACTTCCATAATATTTGATTTTCATACAATGGAAGTCAATTGTTACAGGTTTCCAGCTTTCTTCAGAATATCTTCTTCTTTGTTCAACAGAAGAAAGAAACTCATTAAGGCTTGTAACCACTTTAAGGCGAGTAAATATATAAATTTTTAATTTTGGGTCAACAATCTCTTTAATAGTGGGAATTGGTCGTAAGTGTTAAATTTTTTTTAAAGTTGTATAGCGGCATATAATGTTCATTGTCTTTTTTAAGTGAATAAGTAATGTTAGCTATCGTGCAACAATGTTAACTAATGTGTAATAATGTTTTCATATGGACAATTTGATTAAATCTCTGGCTGATAACTATATGAGTGATAAAAATATGAGTGAAATAATGCTCCACCATCATCTATGTCACAGATGACATACAAATGAAAAGAAAGAAAGAAAGAAAGAAAGAAAGAAAGAAAGAAAGAAAGAAAGAAAGAAAGAAAGAAAGAAAGAAAGAAAGAAAGAAAGAAAGAAAGAAAGATCATACAAGCTGATCGTAAATGCTATAAATGTATGGTTATTTACTCGTAAACTATTTACAAATAATTAATTAGCATTTTATTGTACAAAATATTTAATTTAAGATTTACTACAATTTATTTATTTGTCTGTTAATTTATTTTTTTATTTTTTTATTTTGATGTTTGCAAACCCGTTTTTGTCTCTTTTTTTGTCCTATTGTGAAAAGAGCTACCAAAATAAACTTGCTGTGAAATAACTGAAATGTAAAAAGTGAAATATAAAAAGCTATATATAAGAATTTTTAAAATAGATAGACCAGTGGTGGAACACCTTGAATATGGTAAAGAAATTGGACTTACGGAGAATGTATTCTGAGTTTTCTGTGTCATAGTCCTCCACAGAAAAATGATTGATCCAGTAGCAGCTGCCATTGTTGATCCCTGTGCCAAATATAAGTGATGCTGAACTTTTTGTTTCAGCATTGTTGAATTATCACTTTAAAAGATTCCATGTCAAAAGGCTATAATTTCTTCTATTTTTATATATAGATGTAAAAAAAAAAAAAAAAAGCATTTGACGTATGCTGCCTGGCCTGATGCTGCATACTATTTGCTCTAAAAGCAGTCATTTAAATGGTCAGTTTCTAAAATAAATAAATAAAAATTTATAATAACATAAAACTGTTCTGGATCAATTAACCTAAAGATTTAATTATAATTGAAAAACTGTTAATTTCAGTTTGTTTCTTCAGTTTACCTCTTCAGTTTTAAGAATGCTATAGGCTTTTTTAAAGGCAAAATGTCTATGCAACTTTGTGAAATATCGATGCTACAAGTGATAATAATTTTTGTCATCTCTTTAACTTTACCTCATACCCTGTAATGTTATCCATTGTTAAACTTATTTCTTATAAAAACGCAATGATAAAAACTGTTCAAAATTGAATAAAATTCTACCTCAGTATCTTTCGAAATCAAAAAGTCACGTTTTGTTGTTTTTTCTTCAAGATTTCTTTAATTTGAAAAGGTAAATTATGCATGCAGAACTTCAATATTTTCCATGAAGAAGCATTGTAGAAACTGTTGGTACACACTCATGTTTGATGGCAAATGGACTGAATACGTGAGCAGAATACTTTACTGTAACATTTTTCATTCAGTCGAAATGAAATTATTTTCGTAGGCTCCATTATATTGCTAAATTTTTTATATCAGTTTACATCTGTTATATATAAACTATATAACAAATAGCACATGCATCCGTTTACCTTCGATACAACAGATCTTCCATAGTCCGGAATGCGTCAGATCTCCCCGAGTTTTCTTTGGCAGCAGCAGGTTTTGGGTTTCGTCTGTTGAGTTGCTGGTTGTGTTGCAGATGTGTGCTCTAGAGTAGAGCCAGTAGTCGGTTCCGATCGCTACACTCATCAGGCTGATCGCCGCGAGCGCGCCCAGGCTCGTCAAAACTGTCTGAACTCTGCGATCACACCAAGCCATGACACTGAAGTCTAGACTGAACTGAGCGTGTCAACACAGCTTCACAGCACATTTCACAAATCTTTGCTGCCTGTTCACATTCGACCACGCGTAAGGAGCATACAAGTCGCACTTCTTTTGATGGATACTGAGAGTGTTCTGGTGTTTTAGCTCGGATTTCATCGAATCAACGCAGGAAAAGTAGACAAATAAAAGGAACAAGATTTTTGACAAGTAGGGAGACCGGGTATATTCTTTTTGTTTGAGGGTCAGTAGTGGTTGTTCATTCGGTCTTTCAAACTTTGATAAATTGTACCACATGTAAATATAATACACTTTAACTCATTCATTCATTCATTTTCTTGTCGGCTTAGTCCCTATTAATCCGGGCTCGCCACAGCGGAATGAACCGCCAACTTATCCAGCACATTTTTATGCAGTGGATGCCCTTCCAGCCTCTCTGGGAAACATCCACACACACACACACACACACACACACACACACACACACACACACACACACACACACACACACACACACACATACACAGTTGTTATACCTCACTACATGGTCAGAGTGTAACTAGGAAACAGGTAGGTAATTTGGTAAATTTATTGTGCTATTCATGAACTTTATTTAAATTGAACAACTTTTTTCTTTTCTCTCCTTTTCTACATTTTATCTTAATGCAAAATGGTAACATGTAAAGCATAAAGATGAAATGTCTTGTAAAACTTTTTAAATGATTATACCCTTTCCTGTCATTCAGGCCTGCAACACATTCCAAAAAAAGGTTGGGACAGGAGCAACTTAGGGCTAATGATCTGGTGAATTGGTTAAAAATGATGGGATTTGAAACAGGTTATGTCAAGAGGTGATTTTAATTATGATTTGGTACAAAAGCAGCTTCCAAGAAAGGTCTAGTTTTTTTATGAGATATTTGGATAATTTACTTTCAACAGCGCATAACATAATTTATAAATGCAAGGAATGGACGCTGTGTGCTCCAGACCAAACGAAGAAAAGGATTATTAAGACTGTTACGAGCAAGTCCAAAAGCCAGGGTATGTCATGTTATGGGGTTTTGTCAGTCTCCAGAGAATGTGTGGTGCATTTTGAAGCACAAAATGCAACAACAAATAATACCCCATACTATTGCCCACCTTAAGACTTGTTTGCAGTAAGAATGCAACAAAATTACACCTGAAACACTTCATCAGTGGTTATCTTTAGTCCCTAAATGTATTGTAAGTGTTGTGAAAAGGAATGTCAACATTATAAAGTGGTAAATGCTTTACTCTTCCAAGTTTTTTTTTTAATGTGTTGCAAGAATTTTGGAAGAAAAAAATAATAATGAGGAACCCATTAAGGGACTCACTTTCCACAGTAAAGCTCTTGCATTGGAGGATAATACTATATATATATATATATATATATATATTGTAATTTAATGTATACTACAAATGAAAATCAAATAATACAAGTATATTCTATTTTAATATATTTACTGAGCATTTATTTGTAAATTAAATAAAATTAAAACCTTCTTTCGGTGAGGCAACAGTGCTAACCACTGAACCACTGTGCCACCCTGTAGCCAATCAACGATAACAATTTATAAGGGGCTAAGTTTATCCAATTTACTTATATTGTATGTCTTTGGCCTATGGGGGAAACTGAAGCATCCGGAGGAAACCAACAGAAATGGGGAGAACACAGAACAAACTTAAATCCACAAAGAAATGACTCATTTTCCAATAAATAGAACCAGCAACCTTCATGATGTGATGCAGGCATGCTAGCCAATGAATCCTAACAGTTTTTACACTTTTTAAGAAAAAAAAAAAACTTTCTCTAGAAAAATGGAAATACTGTGAAAAAAGTCCTTGCTTCTGTTAAACATCACTTGAGAGATTTTAAATATATATATATATATATATATATATATATATATATATATATGTATATATATATATATATATATATTTCACAGTAGTAATAATTATGATGAGAAGAATTCAGATTCACCTAAAGTACTTCTTCTCTGTTGAACATTTAAATCTGCAAAGATAAATATTAGTGCTTCTCCCCCTTGTGGAATGAAGATGCACACTTCTTAAAAATGCATAATATCCTGCTAGATACCCTGTAAGAATTTAATATTTTTAAAACGAACAATTATTAAGGATAAGCTTTCTCAACTTGAGAAAGAAAAATATATAGCTATATAATACTATTTAATTTAATAGACAGATTCTCTGCAGTCAGTTTTCAATAATGTTTGTATCTTATATCTTAACATAACCTTGCATTTTGAGCTTGAACCTTTAGCTCATTATCTGTATATAAAATAATATTCACTGGAACAGGCCATTTTTACATCATTAATACTGAATAAATAAAAAAATAAATAACTGAACAAGGGGCCAAACACATTCTCATGTGGAACTCATATAAGACAACCCAGAAAATACTCCACATAGATCAGCAAAATCTGACCAACCAGCAAGATCAAATTACATCCACTATCAGGTCTACTAAATTTCATAAACTTTTGGATCAGAATATAATCAATATCAAATGCATTCATGCAAATACAACAACACCATCCCAAATCATTTACCTTGATTACATTTTTATTATGATCTGTATATTGTATTTGGGGAATGCAAGCTCCTTAAACACTGCAGATCACATTTTTGTAAATTATACTTGTTTTTTATTATCTTAATAGATTATCATTTTTGTATAAGTATATAGGTGTGATATAATTTAAATATTTACATAAAATAAATTATTATTAAATGCTACATATAAAGATGAGAGATTTACAAATAAGGTAATTAATTGAGGTACACTGTAAACATTTTTAAAATGTATTTTAAGATAAATCAACTTAAAATGAACATTAATAAATTAAAAGTAAATCTAAAGCAATGAAACATGATTGTGGTAATAAAAAGAGAGCTTATCCCATGATATCATCACTGTAACAATATTCCCGCATCAAAAAAATGTTACGCTGTCAGGGTTCAGGATCACATTTGAACTTGAACTAGTTTCAAATTGTTAAACCACACTCTAAAAAATATTGTTTAGACCAAACAAAAAAAATAACGCAACAGTTTGTATCAATATATTTAAGTTACAATAATATCTAACAAAATGAAGTTCAGACAACAAACTTTATTATGTTAGCCAAACGGCCTTTACTTCTTCAATCTGTGGCACTTTTACATAAACTCCATTTTTTAAGTTGAGTACTCAAAAAATTTTGACTACTTTTTTAAATAAAAATTTAAAATCAATTGCTTGTTGCTTGTTAAAATCAGTTGCTTGTAACAAACACATTCAACAACAATATTTATAACTTAATAAATTTATGCTGACAACTTAAAAGTTTTAATCTAATCAGCAATGTATTAAACTATGTAGTGGTAACAGACCGCTTGAGTTATTTTTAATTTCTGATATTTCACTGTAAAAAAAAAAGAAATGCAGCGTTCCACACAATTGCTTCATGTTCCTTCAAGTTAACTTATTCGTTTTTACAAATTTAAGTGGATTAAACATAAAACAACTGCATTATATCAAAAAAACTTTTGGGCATCACATATGGCACAAATTAAAATAAATGTTAATTTTTAAAAAAATATGTATTAATATATTAGGCTAAACTTTTATATATAATGGCAAAATATTTTATGGCAAAATCACAGCTTCTATTACTTATTTGTATAATATTCATGCGTGTTTTTGAATAAAAAATTACCTTATATATTTGAACATCTAATTGAACATTTAAATGCATTTTATATCAATGTTTTGTTTATCAAAGAGAATGTTTATCAATGGAAGTGTAATACTTGCCATCTTTCAGAGTCAGTTGTTGCTTTAATAACTCTTTCCTAATCCTATTAAATGTGTAATCTTTAAAATATCATCTTAAGTTCTTACATTTCTTCAAACTCAGAAGTAAAAGATATTTAAGACTACTAATTAACTAATCAAACAAAATGAGTATGGACAAAATCTACTGCAGACTGCTTAATGACCAGAGGTATTATGAATGTGTTTATGTAGCAAAATCACTGTACATAAATGAAGAATGAAATAAATTTACACATGAACCAATGACTTAATTGATCAGTTCAAAAACTGAATTATTCAACTTTGAGTTCCTCAGAGATGCACTAATGTCTTGCTGTTATCTTTGTTTTAACCTACTGTATTTCTCCTAAATAGTAAATTAACAAAGCCAGATTTATTTCTCCAAAAACGTTTAATATGAATCTTACTATGCAATTTATTAACACAAGAAATGTACTTAATACAAATAGCGGGATGGTGTGTATCTGAGTTTCGAGGCTTCATATGGAGCTTAGTCATTTTTCCCTGGGCATTTACAGCCAGAGATCACAAACAAAACATAGCAGAAAAATTAAAAGGATAGTTCACCAAAAAATTACAATTCTATCATTATTTACGCATTTGAGGGTTTTTTTTTTGTTTTTTTTTCTTCATTGTATCGAACACAAAAGAAGATCATTGGAATGATTTTGGAGACCTGTAACCATTGGCTTTCTACATTGGAAAAACAAATACTATAGAAGGTTAAAGGTTTCCAACATCCTTCTTCTTCTTTTGTGGTCAAAAGAACAAAAAATAAATAAAAGAAACTAGCTTGAAACAAGTAGAGGGTGAGTAAACAGTGGCAGAATCTTTATTTTTGGGTGAACGATCCCTTTAAATGCATCATAAAACCTTTGGAAACCATTGACTTATATTGTTCCCAGTCTAAATACAAGTAACCTCATTGTCAATTACTGAATGTAAACAGACACATTGATGGAAAACGTTTATTTAACATTCATTCAATCAGACATATCAGGTGAAGAAAGGACAAAATGTGTAGCAAGAACTGGCTCTACTGGAGGTTGTGGATCATCTCTTCTTTGGCAATGAGATGAGTGGTTTTGTTGACCAGAGACATGAGAGAGTTCAATTTTTGAGACCAGTCATTCAGAAGATCGTTAGGGTCTTTCGGCCGCTGGAAATTTATGATGCCAGCGAGGCGGTCCACTTTCGCATAGATGGTCTTGTTGACAACCAGGTTTGATAAGAACTCCTCTGATTCCTACAAGAATAAAGTTGAAAACATTTGTTCAATTGTTTTAAATCCTGATTCCTACTTATCACTATGAAAAAACAATCTCTAACAAATGTAGAAAATCAACAAACAGGTTTTATTTCCTGACAGAACTCACATCAACAGAGAGGTCGAGCAGTGCTGCCATTCTCCCCATGGTGATGCTTGTGTAATACTTTGCCATTATTCTGATGTTCTAGTAATGGACAAAACAGACAATTGTTCATTTCAATGACAGAAATAACACTTTTACATTTACTAGATGTCACAAATTACAACATGACAAATTAGATTACTAGATTAGTTCAGCCAAAACACATTGTACCTATTGGAACATTCACATTGTACATGGTGACCAAATAATAACCTAAAATATATTGTTCAATGCATGCAGATTATGTTCCATAATTTTCCATAATTGTATCATCAAAACTTTGTTCATAGTTCTCTCACATTACTTTTTGCCATAATAAAATCCAAAATCTTAGACCCTAAAGTTTAAATGTTTTTTGGCTGGAAATAAAGCTGATGTTTGCATATAGGATATACATACATGAAGATTTAGGTACTAGAATAAAAGTAGACACTGTTAAGCATCTAAAGCTGTGCTTGCATACAAACAACTGGAATTTTAGAATGCGATAATTTAGCATTAATGCAAAACTCATTTAGTGTGGAAACTCATCTGCTCTGAGTTTGTAGCACGTGCTTGTGGATTTGAGAATGTAATGTGCAACACCCATTTCACCATACTGTAATAAGAAACCAAAAAATTGAATTAAATCCTAGAAATCTGACTTGCTGCTCCTGACCCGTTCATAAACCCTTAAACCCGCTTATTACAATATTTAACCCTTTATAAAATCTTTAAAATCCCCCTGCACATTTCTGTCAGATACATATAATGGAGCCTTGATAGTTTAACATATTTATTATACAATAATATTTAGGAATTAATAAAAGTATACTTTGTTAATTTTAACTAGATATATAGATTTTATGCGGTACTGCATGACTACGAAGTCCAGTAGTTCAACTTTATAGTAGAGGGTGGATTACTGTAATGGACTCCTCACTTGCCTTCCCAAAAAGGCAGTCAGACAGTTGCAGCTCATCCTGCTGCCAGAATTCTGACCAGAACATCTGAGCACAATACACCTGTTCTCAGGTCTTTGCACTGGCTCCCAGTTACATTCAGAATAGATTTTAATGCATTACTACTTGTCTATAAATCACTAAATGGCTTGGGACCTCTATACATTACAGATATACTCACTGAATACAAACCTAAAAGATCACTCAGATCATAAGGATTAGGGATGTCCAGATCTGATCACGTGATCGGATATCGGGCTTGATCACGCGGCTTCGGACTCGATCGAAATCGGACATTACCTCCCAATATGGACTTGTATATTCTCCTTATTTTCACATCTATAATTTAGAGGAGGCACAGTGTACCATTTCTTGACTTCAGACAGAAACAACAACGCGTGCGGCATGTCATGACTTTGTTGAAGAGATGCTAGTGGTTAAATGCTGCAAAGTAGAACATGGAAGCAGCTTGAAGCGGAAAAAGCGTGAATATGTGGTAACATCTAGATTTTTGTGACACTGTATAACAATAATTTATATTTTTACAGAACTGTGAGGTTGGGTTTAGGGTAGGAGTAGATGTTAATAAAATACAATTAATGGGAAGTTTAATAAAAATATAAATAATTCGCATTAATTTCTGGCCGCAACTATAACTGATCTAGCAACAACTCGAGTATGTCTGCGTTCTGGAGGTATTATAAAGTTGATGACGACAACATTGCCATACCAATGCATGTGAGATGCTTAAACTTGAGATTGCAAGATGCGAAAAATGTATGCTATTTATTACTTGATTGTTCAAGCTACCTCACAGAAGTGCTCTGTTTGTTAACAGAGTTGATGAATGTTAAAATAAGGAAAATTAAATAAAAAATAAGAAACATCCTGTTTATTTGCTCTTCTTTATTCTTTTTTTTTTTGTGTGTGTATTATAAAAGTATCGGATCAGGTTTTGTTATCGGAAGATACTCAAAATCAAATGGAAAAAAAACCCCTGATCAGGACATCCCTAATTAGGATCAAGTAAATTAGAAGTTCCAAGAATTCAGTGAAAGCAAAGTGAATCTGCCTTCAGCTACCATGCTCCTCGCTGCTGGAATCAGCTTCCACAAATGATTAGATGTGCTCCAACATTAGGTATGTCAAATCAAGGCTTAAAACACATCTGTTTTGCTGTGCCTTTACTGAAGGAGAACTGTGCTACGTCTGACAGATCACACTATTTTGCCTTTCTTTTCTTTTTCATTCTTTTATAACCCGTTTTAACACATTTTAATCTGTTTTTATACATTTTTTTATATTTTAATTATTTAATTTTTTTGTGCATTTTATTCTTGTTTAAATAAAGCACTTTAAATTACCATTGTGTATGAAATGTCCTGTATAAATAAACTTGCCTTGCCTACTCTGCATCAAATGCTAAATATTTCTGGCTTTCCATTTCACAAAAAACAAACCAAACTCACATGTTCTACCACTCTATTTTTCAGATCTTTCCATCTCTTCTCCCCCTCTTCTGTGCAGGTGAAGACATCAGTGTCTGGAGTTCCCATGGAACCCTCCCTCAGTTCCTTGCCATAATCCTCCACTACAGATGACCAGCGCATCAGCTCCATGGTGGTGAACTGTTTAAGGAGATCCCTACAGAAAGGAAGACGATAGATCAACTCCTCTACCTGCAGCCTCTATATTACGCTTAAGACTCAAAAATCAACCAAATCACATCTCTGAGCTCTTTTAGAAAACCTCTAGTGTTTTTAATTGTCTGATTACCTGTATTTGGGTATTTCCTCCAGTTTCTTGTCAGTGCTGATTCTATGAACCAAATCAGACTGTTCATTGTCATACGGCGCCAAAATCACATAGAGCACAACACTCTTCAGAGCCTGAAATAGAATAAAAGAACCGACCAGAGAGCAAATTAAGCAAACAGTAAAGCTCAATATAATGTGTAACACAAGGATTTTAATGCAAACAAGGTACCTGCTGCCATTTGGACGAGTCTTCCAGAATACAAGGAGTGTCATATATAGCTCTGTAGTGTTTACATATGGACAGGTAGGAGCCCTCATGCAGATCAACTTGAATCATCAGATTATAATACTTCAATTTCAATTCCTATACATTAAAAGAAAGCAAAACATTACATTCAAATTAAAATGAAACCATTTTTCATTAAAGATTATAAACTAAAAGTCAATAAACAGAACGGAAGTTTTAAAAAAATATGATGCAAACCTCAGTGCCTTCCTCCTGGAAGAACTTCGTGTTGATTTTTTTGCTAATGATCTGTGTGCGTATGTAGTCCTTGACAGCAATACACAGCCTCATCTGCTCCAGAATGAACTCAGCCTTCTCTTTCTTCTCCATTGATCCGTATGTCTCCACCTGCAGAGAATGCATAAGAAATATAGATTTACAGAGTGCAAATGCATCACGTAAAACTACAAGCACTGGATCAAGCATGAACACTGCACTTTTTAACATAACCTTGTAAGATTGCATGCAAGCAAGTAAAGCAAGTAAAGGTTTATTTATATAGCACCTTTCACAGACATTCACACAGAGTGTTTTACAATAAAAGAAAACTGGAAAACAGTTTTTCAGATTAAAACAAGTTAAAATCCAAGTACAGAAACAAACTATGTTGTTAATTAAAAGCTTGACCAAAAATGATGAATCTATTCATTGTTGAGAACATTTCAAAAAGCTGGCATGCTTTTGTTTATCAGTAAATTATTACAAGCTTACTTCCAGAAAATTTTAGAATCTTGTTGTTACAAACTAGTTAGTCGACTTACTAGTTAGTTTGACTGTTATATAATCCATTACAATGTTTAAATTAAGAAAATACAACATTAAAGTAGTATAAAATAAAATGTGGAACCAACACAATCTGCAATTTAACAAAAAAAAAAATTTAAATCTCAAATAGGCTCACATTAAAACACGCTATGGATTTTCAGGTAAAACTAATAGAAAAAATTACTTTCATGTGGATTGTGAAATTTACAAGAGTGGTTGGACTATGAGATAGTATTGTTACTAATATTTTTTAGAATTGAGATGAAGCAAAAATAAAAATGTGAAACCTGAAACATGAAATGAAACCTGTTAGGCTAAAAAAAGGAACACTTGAAATAAAACATTGCTTTGACAGCTACACAAATAAATTGAGTAGGAGAGCCCAAGTTCATCTACCCTAACCCAACCCTAATCAATATCTAATAACAATGTAACAGCAGATGCGGATGAGAATCGTCAAGCTTGAGTAATTTACATGTTAAGTCAATGCAAAGACACGATGAGACATCCTGCTGTGCTATACGTCAATGACACGGCACAAATTGAGCATTTCGGGCATTGGACACACTTAGCGCATGATTGGCTCGAGTAAAAAAAAAAAAAAAATCCGATTTCACACCATGTTAACCAATCCGGACCCAGAGACAACACCAAATTAATCTATTAATCAATAAAATTATGCGCAAAAAATAGCACGATCTGATTTATTCTGATCTAAAGGCTGATTTATACTTCTGCGTCAAGCGCACACGTATGTTATGGTGCAGTCTACACGTTGACGCATAGCCCTATGCAGTGGTCGTCGCTGATGTGCACCTCTCAAAAAATGTAACTACACATCGAGTAGCACAAGCTCTGTGATTGGTCGGCTTGGTATCCCTGACGAGAGCCACGCGAGCCCGATGGAGCGATTGTTTACAAGTGTGGAGTCCCGTGAAGAAGCTCAAGATGGAGATTGTTGTGTTGTGTTGTGTTTACCTCATGGTTAAAGTTGTGCACATCTGCCGATTCCTGCCTCAAAATAAGTGAGTTTGAGCTACTTGTACATTAAAGAGGCATTCAGAAAAAACAAAACACCAGCAAAGAAACTCGACACAGAGGAACATAAATACCTCACTGCCAACTAGCGTTTCAGAAGCGTTATTGCAGTACAACAGAAACAGCGTGCAGAAGTATAAATGCACAACTACGCGCGTTGCATGTGCCGTGGGTCACACTGATCACTTGACGCAGAAGTATAAACCAGGCTTTATCCGCATCTTTTGTGAAAGCTTGAAGTCAAAATGTACAATGTTTATTTTTGTAGATCACATTGTTACTCTTTAAGTGAATAATAAATCTGTGAAAAAAACATGTTTAAACTTGTTTTAGCAATCTTCAATTAAAATTTGATCATTTGCTTCCATGTTTGGAAGTGGTGGTGCTTCTGTTGACGTCAACCTGAGGGCTTCCATGGCAATGGCATATTAATACCCTCTCTTAACGCAAGTTTGCTGATGGAATGATACAAAAAGAAAGCACCAACCCCTACTTAATATTCCATTTCAGGTATAAATACATCAACATACTGAAAATTTAAGCAACTTCCAGTTCACTTTAGACTTTGGGAGTATAATCGTGAGGCAGGTATGCAAATTTTTGGTTCAAACTCACCTGCAACTCCTGCAGAATGGCTGCGGCTTCTTTCACATCTCCACTTTGCTCTTTGATATGGGCCAGTGTTTTAGTCAGTCTGGCACGTTCAATCTCCACATATATCTGCAGAACATTGATATATATATATAGTATGATGAAAGTGTAAAGCACATCACTATAACAGAGAACATGTATCTAAAAGCATGAGTAGAGACCTTTCCAGCAGTGACTGTGCGAAGTGTGTCGATGAGACGTAGTTTGATTGACAAGTCAGTCATCGCATCAACATACTTGTAACATTCCTGTACCATCTTTGCAACAGCCTGTAAAAAGAGGTTAACAGTCTTATGACCACCCATCTCAAATTTTTAAAACAAACATACAAAAGGTTCAACATTGCAAATCTTTTTAAAGCTTTTCAAACTGTAATAAAAACATTGCAACAGTGTTTTTAATACTTTAATAAGAGGGATTGACTGGAAATGTGATACTCTCACTTTGGACTCAAGTAATAAATCCCTATCATTTTTTTTCGTGGAAAGTTGTTAACACTACCAGTATGACTTCTTAAAAACTGTAATTTGACCTTCATCTACACTCATGTTAATTAGTCTTTTTCTTTTTTCTGTTTCCTTTGTCGTGGTAATTTATGAGTCAAGAGCACAAGAGAGATTCCTGCAAAGACCTCAGTGATAGACAAACCATTGTATAGATGTCTTCAGCTAGTCTGAACACCCACACGATAACCTACTTGCACTGGCAACTTCTCCACAATGGATGCTTATCATTCTCAAACTCTAAAACTCACAGTGAGTGCATTTAGTCTGCCATTGCATCTCTGAGATACGCAATTTCAGCTTGTATTATCATGGTTGCATTCAGACACTATATATATTTTTTTGCCTACCCATTGTTGTGTTTTGTACAAAAATGCACTTATATTAGTGGTTTTGCCATATTTGCATTGTATTTATTGCATTTTGAATGCAAATGCCACTGTAATTAAAGAAAAATAATTAGTGTTGACTTGTCATGCATGTTATGGCTGTTTATTAAAACAACTAATATCAATTGTTCCTGACATTTGACCTTAATAAAAATTCAGATTTTTAATGTAGACATCGGCATATGGTTACATAAGGTGATTAGTTGTTATACTGAATTTTTTTCCATATTCATATAAAACCTGGTGGTTACTGGTGGTTAAAAGACATTGTTATTAGGTATCGTGGTCTCAGTCACAGGCTCAATGATATGTTCACGACAGTGTGCCTACCTGCTTCAGCTGGCTTCTTCTCTTAGATAGCAGCATGATGTTTTCGTTCAGAGCATCCCAGTCTTTGGCTTCATAGCATAACTGAACTATTGCCACCAAGATCCTGGAGGTAGACACCATATCCGAAGCCTGGAAAAATGGCACAGATAAAAGAGAGCATTTTAATAGCTACTAATTTCCATGCATAAAACTGAATGCAACTAGACACTTACAGTTCTTGTTTGCTTCTCTAGTGACAGCAAACTCTCGACTGCCTCCTGTAGTCTGCCATCCTTTAAACACACACAACATTATGTTTTACATCATACAGTTTTTCTGTTATATCACAGTACACGGAGTAACGCTAACGTTAGTATGATTAAGTGTGAAATGTAAACTACGAAATATGAGCACGAATAACAACATTAGATTCATATAGCTAAAACTCAGATAACTCTTTAGTTAAAATACTTTCCACACATTTTCCCTACAGCTATTATCTACAACTGAAGTTAATAAATTGGTTCCCTGTATACTGCTGGAGGACCGTTAGCTTTAGCATGTAGCATGACTCAGCCGCTCATTCACACTTACCTTGGCCATTTTCTCACACTCGGGAAGGCGCTCGTCTACAGTGGCACTGTAGTCAACCTCCATCTTCACTATCCGTCCATCTGATCGTTCAGCTCTGTCATCAGACATTGTTGCAGCTAGTAAAAGGAAAAATTCGCAGCGAATGTGACAACTACGATCCTAAAAGAATTTGCTGCTAGACTTCTTTGTCTCTATTTGGCGGCTGTCAAACATGCTACTCCTACTTTACCGCCACCAACTGGCCAGGAGTGTAGAGCTGTGGAACTGCTCTTAATGCGCATGTGTGGTGACATTTTGGTTCAATTATCAATATGGTAGATATTTTATACATTACACAAATCATCAGGATAATAACATTTAAACATATGTTTCTTTATTTAACCAGATCAAAACCCATTAAGATCAATCTCATTTACAAGGGTGACCTGGCCAAGAGGTCCCTAACACATGACTAATGAAAAAAACAATAATGATATTAATAATAAATAGAAAAGGAAGACAATATAAAAATCAGTTTAGTTGGTCAGCTATACCACATTACAATATATTAAAAATACATACATTGAGTAACAGACTGTTGTTGTTTGTTAAAAAGGATAGAGCGAAACGATGTAATTGGGAGTATTTTTAGTTCAGACTGAAGAGTATTCCAGGATGAGGGGGCAGCATGACTAAAGGCTCGCTTCCCTATTTCAGTTTGAACCTGGAGAACAGTCCAATAAGATTCACTTGAATGTAGGGCATACTGGCTTTTTGACTCACGAAGAAGGGAACTTGGGTATGAAGGCACCAGTCCCAGAAGAGTTTTGTAGAGCAGAGTCATCAAGTGGGTGTACTTTCTTATGTACAAAGAAGGCCACTCAGCTTTGGCATACAGTTCACAATGGTGAGTAAGTTTCTGACAGCCTGTAACAAACCTTGGAGCACTGTGATAGATGGAGTTTAAGGCTGAAGACATTTGGTTGAAGCAATTATTCATGTTCTTAAAAGAAAGCTCCTGATCAAGTAGAAAACCCAAGACTGTAAAAATTGTATGGCCTGAGAAAATGAAGGAGAGCAACAATAAATCATATCCTCAGGACAAATATCATCAGTGTACAGATGATATATGACATTTGGAAGGATGTCACACAAGTTATTATTATAGATAGAGAATAACATAGGCCCTAATACAGATCCCTGCGGCACTCCTTTGGGCACCTCTAAAGATAAAGAAGTCAGGCGGCCATATGGACACACTGTGTTCTATTGGACAGAAAACCAAGCTACCTCTTTAGTTTGACATGTTGATATGATCAACATTATCAAATGCGTTTGAAAGATCAAGAAAAAGAGCAGTGCAATAATTCTTATGAGATCCATTGCCTGTAAAAAAAAATTATCTAAAACCTTCAGTGTGGCAGAAACAGTACTTATGTTGCTTTCTAAATCCGGACGGGTAATTTCACAGTAAAGTTATTTGTGTCTAGAAACAGGTTAAGTTGGTCACTGACTAATTTTCGAAATTATTTGCAATCATGCATAATTTGGAAATTGGTCTATAATTGTTTACTTCTGATGGTTCTCCTCCTTTTAAAAGGGGAAGTACAAAAGCAGACTTCCAAATTCTGGTCCGGCAAACTGGATCAATTTTATATCTGTGTTGTTTCTTTATTCTTATTTATTTTAATACAGAGCTATTATAATTAACTAGACCTAAACCAAAATCATATTGTGTAAACTAAAATAAACATGAACTATTTAAAAAAAAACAGATTTTAATATCTTCATACTAAAATAATTAAAACTAAAATTCAAATTATATCAACTTTTTAAAAATATTTACACATTTTATTCAAATTCGCAGCAAGTAAATTATTTTGGAAAATATATATATTTAGATATGAATTGATAAACTAGCATGAATGAGCTGAGGAAAATTAAATACAAAAATAAATTAACGTTTAAAAAGCGGAAAAAATTACTTTCAGTTTAGCATTTTCTTATTCTCTCAAAATTCGTGTAAATTATTTTATTATTTGCCTACCCGCACTATTATTTGTTTGTTTATTTATTTATTTACTTATTTTTTATTTATTTATGCAAAAATGTATTGTTTTTTATTCATCTATTTATTTAGCATATTTATTCATTTTTTGCAGGTTTTGTCCTTTATAAGCGATGTCTGATAATAATTTCCTAAGTAAATAAGAAAAAAAACTGGAAAATGTGTAAATATGAAAATAAAAACAATAAAACAATAATATTAGAATTTACAATAATCACATGATTTAATGTGTCCCACTTCTTTTGTCTCCCAGTCAACACAGGTTTTTAAAGTTGTATTTTTATAATAAGTTTTATTATATCACTACAGTTTGACATAAAGCCAGACTAGGCAAATGGGACCCGACTTTTATTTTGAAGGTAGAGTGCTTCTGTACGCCAAATTCGTCAGTACGGTCTGTAGCGTAAACGTTACGCCTAAAAGAATATAAAACTGTTAGGCCTACTTTATCCTAAGTTTTAATTGTTTATTTATTTAAAATTAACCGGGCAAATCGGATTGTCATTGATGTCTTCTGCGAGACAAAGCTCTAGTCAAGCGTGTAACTGAAGTTGGAGTTTGATTCCGTTTGTTCGGGTTGATTTCTGTGGCTCAAATGCGGTCCGGGCAAATCTCTCCTGATCTTTGCTCACATCGCTTAACTTTACTTTGATCGAATGGGATCGTTGTGTTTTCAGACAGCGGGATCCAACTGTTCTGGGCAGAGACATGTGGAAATCGTGAACTTGTGGGTCTTCATGTGTATTTCAAGATCAGATTCAGGATATACGTGTGGATTTTGGGATTGAATCTGGACCATGGGCTCTCTGAAAGCTTTGCAGGACTGGTGCAGGAACCAGTGCGCAAGTTACAACAATGTGGACATTACAAACATGACTTCGTCCTTCAGAGATGGACTGGCCTTTTGTGCCATCATCCACAGACACCGACCAGATCTCATGTGAGCATCTTTGACATCTATAACGTTAATTGTTTTTTCATTTTCCTTATAAAGAGACATGATCTGAGTCAGAGCAAAATGGAATGGAATGAAGGAAATGTTGTTTCCTAACACGATTAATGGAAACGTTTAACAGTAGCTTGTGTTATTGTGTTGTGCTATTGTTAGGTGTGACTTGGAATAAACAGGAAGTGACACACTGTCAGGTCCACATTGGGACAAATTCAGCCAAAATTGACTTTTTTTCATTATTATAAACCCCCCATACGGTTGAAAAATATTTTTTTTTCAGTTCTGTGAACCACATAGCCCATGCGAGATCAATCAGTTTTTGTACATGCAATGAAAGTCATTTGAGTTAAAAAGGAGTTTAAGTAAATAATATAAAAAAATGTAACTAAAATACAGCAAAACAAAACACTGCTGCTGTATATATTTTTAATCTCAGTGTTATTTTATTATTATTAATCAAAGGTTTAATATTCTTTAGTTGGTATTGTTACATTTTAGTTAAACTCCAAAGCATAACAGAAAATGTATACAAAATAAAATTATAGTGAATATTTAGAAGCATCACATTATTGAATGTATCCTTTGTGTCCCAGTCGCATAGGTTTTTAAAGTTTTATTATTTTTATTATAAGTTTTATAATTTTTATATTGTAGGTTTAAGGTTATCTGTATTTTGATAATATAATGAATTTGAAATTAGACACACACTTAGAGACAAGTGAGGAAAAGTTGGTAAGGAAAAGAGGCTCTTCGTGATGCGTCTGTTTTTATGGAAATATTTATGGAAATGTGATCACATGAGACAACATCACATTTGTTGTGTAAGTGCCTCTTTTTTGTCTAGCTACTGCATCCTTTTTTTTTAGTTTGGATATGCTTGCCTTTTTTTGTTTTGTTTACCACTTTGTATTTGTGTTCTCATGGTGAAGTCACTGATTTAATCACCTGTTTTAGATTCCTTGGGCTGTCATTATTATCTGCTGAGTACATCACATGTTCACTTATGTAATGCCAGGATGGACATGCTGGGTCATGCTGGAGACAGGCACACTCAATCAGTTCTGAATGTCACTCTACTTTTAACTGTAATCTATTATGAGATTAAAATATATAAATAAAATACATATATATTTATGTATACACACACACACGCACACACACACACTTTATATTACTAATTAATTATGTTTTACGCAGCGGATGCTCTTCCAGCTGCAAACCATCACTGGGAAACACCCACACACAGCGCTACCGACTGCGCCACTGTGCCACCCATATATATAAAATATCAGACGGGTGCAAATTTGTGCATTAAATAATCCTTAGTCATCTCACACACGCACACACACTAATTCTGTATATAAAAATCAATTTAGAATGGCAAAAAACAATCTTAATAAATAATATATATATATATATATATATATATATATATATATATATATATATATATATATATATATATATATATATATATATATATATAATTAACAGGATGAATATATTAGCGGTACTAAAAGGTGCATTTGGTGTTCTGCCCCCTACTATTGTGCAGTGTAAATAGGAGTTTCATTCCTTCAGCCAGAAACAAATTTACTTTTCCTCTTGATGTGAATGAACCATTCATTGCTGTTTCTTTTCACTGTAGGCTGCTAAACCTCATATGTTTGGGATTAGATGAATGGAAAGGCGTTTAGCAAACAGACCAACATAACACTGTTCTCATACATCAGAGCAGGCTGCTAAACACTAGTCTACACGTCTCATTTTTTAAAGCTTGCCATTTCTAGATTGAACTAATAGTGGTCTATGAAAAGACAACAAATTAGGCGAGAACAAATGCAGCTCTGATATGACACTTTAATAAATAGAAACGCGCATTTAATAATAGTAAGTGTCATCTTGCTTCCTGTCTGTCTGTCTGTCTGTCTGTCTGTCTGTCTATAAAGCTAGAGGATCTGTGTTACCTATTGGAAAGAATTAGCATCTGTTCTTGTATATTTCATCACTGAGATTGTGATTCATGACTGTGCAGATATGATATTGCTAAACATGGTTTCATTTCTTTCTTGTCCCCTAGAGATTTTGACTCCCTCTCAAAAGAAAATGTCTTTGAGAACAACCGTCTGGTGGGTATTACACAAACAGCTGATGTAATGTCAAGATATGATGCTGTTGATATGTTTATCATAATGCTGAATCAGCTGTTAAATTCTTAATTTGTGTTCTTATTGTTGAGGATTTTTTTCGTATGCTATAAAAAGAGGAAGTGGTTTCAGCAAAACACCTAAATGCACGTGTCAGTCATATGATTGAGTAATGTTCATCCGTGTACAACAGAGTTTAAATAATCCTTTTAGTCAATTGTGGCTGAATGTGCAATAGTGCAATTATTATATTATGGAATTTAGGTTTTTGTACAGGTGGCTTTCTGATTCTCTTTAATATGTTGTGTATTCAAGGTTATATTAATTAACGAAAACGAACGACAAAACGAAAACTAAAATTTAAAACATTTTTATTAACTGAAATAAAAATAGATTTTTTTTTAACTAAAACTAACTGAAAACCCTATTGTGTTCATAAAAAACTTACTTTAACTAAAGTTGTAGCAAAAACGTCCTTCATTTTCTTTCGTCCTTTGTTTTTGGTGTTTGACTGTACGGCACCTCAGAGTCTGTAATCCTGCTGCCATTGGCCATATTAAGCCAGTACTCTTCCAGTCATCCTTGCTGTTGCTCCCGTGACAAAAACAACGAGTGGACATGACAGCAGCACGGTTACAGCAATCAGCTCAAAATTATTATTTTTAACACATTTGTGCCCAATAATCGGTTTTATTTCTGTATTAGTAATCACAATCATGAACGAATCGTTCTTTTAACCAGATCTAAGTAAACCGGTTGAACTAGTTCAACCAAATCGAACTGAATCAGTTGAAAGGATTCGCGTCTCCAGTAGGCACACTTAGCTACAAACTACTTACTACTTACATGCCTAATACCCCCTCTGACTCGAAATAAACCATTATATTCTGTTATTCAGTTATTAGAACAGTGCACTGAGATCACATTTGAGAAGCTGTGAACCGATAATACTGCGTATGCATGATTCAGTGAACCAAACACAAACAGTACATGACAGCCTGCTGTGACTGAACTAAACTTGAACGACTGCAACGCGGGTAAACCAAAGGCTTAAAAACGTAAGTTTATTTATAACAGGAAATCGTAATGGGATTTATAAGTGAAACATGCTTCAGTTGAGTTGCAAAACTTAACTGTAAGAAATTTTTCAGATCATGGTGATGTTTTTACTGACTGAAATGAAGATTGCTGTCAAATGCAATCAAATTAACTTAAAAAAATGCAATTGAATGAACAATTAAAAACTGCAACAAATATTAATTTGAGGCCAAACTACAAAACCAAAAAAAAAAAAAGTTGCACACTAGTTTGATCATGTATAAATATCATTATAACTATATTGTATAAATATTAGTATAACTATAAGCCTACATGCTGACAATCAAAAACAAACTTACATGATATCACAAGTGATTGTCTTCTGACATAGTGCACCTGAATAGACATGAATGACACTCCTCATAGAGCGTGAGAAGCAAACATTTCTTTTGGATCTATGTAATTTGTAAAATAAAGACTTGTAGATTAAGGAAACAGCATGGGAGGAAGTTGGTGCGGGACTTGGTGCAGATAAAAAAAATAAAAATAAAAAGTGTATTTATATAGATAGATAACTAGACAGAATAGACAGAGATAGAATGATGTGCAACAGCCGCTTATCCGCTGCGTGCTGCAGACGCAGCCCATGTGAAAGGAAAATGTCTGCGTGCTGCTTCTGTCACTAATCAACATTGTCAATTAATTAGGCAGAAAAAAGATAGCCTGCTTTTATGGGCCGATCGGGTCATAAGAAAATGATCAGCTTAGCCAAAAAGTACGACAGCCCAGCGGGAAACTACCCGGTCTGCCAGATAGCCAATCCGCCCCTAATCACCTGACTGTTATTATTGAAGATATATATGGCATTATGTTCTTGATGTTGATCTCTTCAAGCAGTGATCTGCTATTCTAAAATGCTTTCTATCTTAATGGACAACATCATTAGGCTGCAGATATTCCAAGTACTGCTGAAACAAATGTTTAGGACTGGCTTTTTTATTTGCAAGTCTAATGTTACTATGAAGCCTATAATAATGTTTGTGTGTGTGTGTTTATATATAAAAGCACATAAAAGCACAGCATAATCAGCCAAAAATATAAGCAGCAATATATATATATATGCTGATTATGCTGTGCTTTTATGTGACCCCTCTGTTTTTCTTTCAAAGGCATTCGAGGTTGCAGAGAGAGAGCTGGGGATTCCAGCCCTGCTGGATGCAGAAGATATGGTGTCTATGAGTGTGCCTGACAGATTGAGCATCATTACCTATGTGTCTCAGTATTATAACTTCTTTACCAACAAATCTCATAGTGAGTACTGAAAATGGCAACAACTTAATTTGTCAATATTTTATTTACACACACTTGCATATGCGCTCCAACAGAGAAGTTAATGTCCAAGTGCTTTGTGCATTACTATGCAGAAAATAAAAATGCCCTTAGGGCACATGTCCACTGAATTGTATTTTTTAGTTGTTGTCTATGAAAGTGATTTGCTTTTTTGAACACAGCAGCGTGACCAAATGCTGAGCGTTTTTTAAATGTGTGGACAGTTTGAAAAGCACTCACAGCTGAGCATTTTTGGAAGTAAGCTGTCTTTTTCAGCTGCATAATAAAGCTTTGGTGGACATGTGTCATTTTAAGGCCTTTATTGGAGCCACAAGTAAGCCTATTGCTTTCTGACTTCTGTAGGCTTGTAGATTTTGCTTACAAATAAAACATATTCCTGGTACATTACAAAAGTATTAATTTTAAAGTATTCAGTGCTTTTTGCAACAAATGTTACAGAGTGATGGCACTGCAAGTGTTATTGAGGTATTGCACATTGTTTCATTTAAGCAGTCTCTTAAAACAACAAAAAGTAAAAGGAAGACCTTAAGATGGAGAGGCACAACAAAGAGATTGAAGCCACTTAGGCAATTAAAAACTAAAAGCCTTATATATTTAGATCATTAAAAATTTGGACAATTTTTAACAAACATTGAGATTAAATGTGTAGATGTATGATTTCAGTTGGTAAAATGAAGTATTCTCCACTCACAGTGTTTGTTGGACAATCTGATTGTATTGAATAGTAAAGATATAATTGGCACCATGGCTCAAACTTAGTGACAGTTTTTTATGTTCATGGATATTTTTGATTGTGTAGAATTTGTTTAGCGTGGTGTAATTGGAACTGGTTTAGACCGTGCCAGCCATTGGGTGGTGCAAGTAAACAAACCAGCTTTGCTGTTTGTTCATCATCTATTATGTATTGTTAAACAGAACAGATTAATCTTTATTTTTTGTAGTCAAAGTGTATGAACTAGTGCATTTTTTAATTACATTTGTACTGCCCTGGTAGTATAGCTTTTGTGTGTGTGTGTGATTGACAGAATCTCACCTATTACTGTCAGTACATCTCAATTTGTACAGTTCTTCAATTCGTACAATTAGGCTCAGTCTACTGTGTAGATGTCAAAGTCTATTTCTGGAGGGCCGCAGTTCTGAACAGTTTTGCTCCAAACCTAATCAAACACAGCTGATTCAAAGAGGTAAGGTGTTCTGAAGAATCTTGAACACCTTAATTAGTTGCATCAGCTGTTTGATAAGGGTTGGAGCAAAACTGTGCAGAGCTACGGCCCTCCAGAAATATACTTTGACACCTATGGTCTGCTGTAATTGTTATCCGACAACTAAATTTTTGCTTCCACGTTTTCTTTTTTTTCCTTGTTTATACTAAAATGATACAGATATAGAAAAAAACAGTCATTGTAAAGCTCTTTTGTCATTCTTCTGGCAGTCACTTTAATAGCAAAAATTCCACTACTTGGTGGTGCATGCACATTGTTCTCAATTGTTATTGCATGCAAGGTGTAAGACACACTTGGCATAATTTTTTTTTACATTTTCTGTCTCTTTTGCCTCAATGTAATAGGACAATTGTACATTCATCTTTAACACAGATGAAACTGAAGATCAAATAGCAGGCACATTCAATTATAAACATGTATGTTTAAAGAAAAGAAGGCAAAATGTACATAAACATTCCACCATGATACTGATAACCTGTTTTTATCTTTCATTTAGCTGTCTCCAAATGCATAAAGAGCCCTAGCAGTTCTGGCTATATCAGATCAGCTATAAAGAGGCCCTTGGCTTCTCCAGAGGACCGTGATGCTCATAATGAAGTAAGGAAGACTGTATTGTTTTTTTTTGTTTTTTGTTTTTTTTTAAACTGACTTTTTATTGTTCTTTGATTTTTAAATATGACTTTTTTTGTGAGGACTTTGTGTCTTTATTTTCCATAATCGTTTGAGGGGTATTGCAGGGCTCAGTCTTAGGTCCTCTCATTTTCTCTCTTTATTTGCTCCCCATTGGTTCAATAATCTGGAAGCATGACTTGTCATTTCATTGTTATTTGTATGATAGCAAGATTTATATAGAAAGGTTGATACCGTCATACAGCTACTTGACTGTCCCGATGATATAAAAGCCTGGATGGCTCTTCACTTTTTAACTTTTACCGGAGAAATTATGGTCTTTGGATGGTTGATTTGGCTGCTTTGACTCAACACATCAAGCAAAAGATAAATACCCTAGAAGTAAAAAATGGACTCTGAGCCTAAGCTCTGTAGTCAGATCAGTGCAGACAAGTTTTTCCCCAACTGAGGCAGCTGGCCAAAATAAAGCCATTTCTTCCAATGCAAACTTGAATACTGTAGTTTACTGTATGTGGAATCTTCCGTTGCTGATCTGTAGTTGTTGCAAAATGCTGCAGTCTTTTAACTGGAACACATAAATATGAGCATGTTCCCCTATTGCCCCATCCTCACCTCACTTGCTGTCAGTACATTTTAGAATCCATTTCAAAAATCTGTGTTTTGAAATTCCTTAATGATCTTGCTCCAACTTACTGTACATTGCTGAACGGCACTTGTACATATCAACTCGTTCTCTCAAATCAGCTGGACAGTTGCTTATGAATGTGCTTAAATCTAAGTATAAGCCTTGTAGCAGCTCCTAATGTGTTGTGTCTCGTTATTGGATTTGCTTATTTGTTCTTGGTATTTAAATCCCTATATCTTAATACCCATCTTTTCTCCTTAGACTTTGACACATGACGACATTTTGCTTGTTTATTTGAATGGATTTACAGTTTTTTTAAACAACTTTAATTAAGTGTGTGTTTGAGTTTTAGTGTTATGTAAAGCACCTTGGTTCTCTTTGGGTGTTTTTAAAGTGTTTTATAGTTATGGAGTGATTGATAAATATTTGTAATTTGTGAAATCTCTTAAGTTTTTACTAATGCTAAATAGATAGTGATGTATACATAGTTATTTAAACATTGCACAGTATTGAAGGGGCCATATGACTTTGTTAAAGAACAATATTTGGTTTATTTGGTGAAATGCAATGTGTTTGCATGGTTTAAAGTTCAAAAAACACATTCTTTTTCCACGTACCCCATTTCGATGTCTGAATACCTCAAGCGTGTGACAGAAATTTGCTATCTTATCTAGAAAATGCTGATGATGAAGCTATCAACTAGGGCTGTGTGATTTGGGGAAAATATCTATTTTTTTGACAGATATTGCGGTTTTGATTTGGGATTTAATTTTGTAGTCAAGCTTCAGCTCAATAATCTGTATTGTAGCTTCTTACTGCTAAAATGCAGTGATTGGAACTAAAAAGATATCAGCTTATATGAGCAAACAACTCTTTGTACAACAAATTGTATATTGCTTGCTACTAGATTGAGTGTCACTTGCAATACTTTTAGTTGACTATAGCAAGACGCTCCTCATATAGCGGCCTGTGGTGCTTTTTTAAGTGCTGGTTGTTTTATTTCCTCATGCTGTGGCAAAAAGTCTGCGACAGCTCTTACAAATTACCTGATTTTGTTTGGTTTCTGTAACTTTGAAACAAAGATATTCCCATATTATTGACATTCTGTTTTACTTTGTTGTTAATTGCTTCTGATGCGACAAATGCCATCATCCCACTCGTTCGTGCTTTCCTGTTTGTTTGTTTTTTTTATGGTGGATGTTTTACATGTTCCGCCAATTCTGATTGGGCAAAACTAAAGTGTGCTCACTCAGTTGGCTAGTAAAACTGTCACACACAGACAGTAGTCACGCATTTGCTTTGGGTGAAGTTAAATAATAAACATTTCATATCGCAGCCTCTTGCGATAAGCTAATCGTAATGTTTCAAATTGTGATTGTGATTCGGTTTCGATTAATTGCACAGCCCTAGTGTCAATTTTGCCAGCATGGCTTGAGCAAAATATAAATCAAGGAGTTTGGCTTTTACAACGTAATGCACAGCATCTCTATGACTTTGTAAGGGATGCCAACAAAACTACAGCAAGTTATGCCACTTTTTTTTGAAAATACATTTGTTTGGTGTGCTGTTTGTTCTCACATACTGATGCAGATTTATGGCTATGGGGCATGTTTGAATGAGGTGTTTTATCAAGGTAGACGAGTCTTAGCTTTACAAAAAAAATTTTTTAATTGGTTTCAGTTTTTGAGTCTTTTTCTTTTATTATTTTTTTGCATAAACAGCTTTTAACACCGCAAAGATTAAGGCAAACATGAAACTGTCATATGACACCTTTAACAGAGTAAAACAAATTGGCAATATATTCCAAAACAGACATAAGTGAATCTTAACATTCTTTCTCCCACTTTTTCCTGTCATCCCGGTTCTTGGTGCTACGTAGTCGGGTGCAGATATCCAACCAAAACGCAGTACTTTGAGCAGCACCTGTTCAGCCTGTGGAAAACATGTTCATCTGGTTCAGAGAATCCTTGTTGATGGCAAACTTTACCACCGGAACTGCTTCAGGTAAGCAGTTGACTTCCATAGCATAATATCTGTATTAATAGCAAATGTCTTTTTTTTAATAATCTGTATCTTATGTTATAACCACCGCAACTAGAGGTTACCAGTTCAATTTCAGTTTCAGTAAAGTGCCACCTAATGGTCTGGAGATTTAAATTATTTGCTTATTACTTCTAAATGTTATGGTGTGGGTTCAAGTCCCACCTGGGGAGCCGGTTTTGATTTCAGAAGAGTTCTTTTTTGTCGACAACAAAGGAGATTTTTCAGAAGACCACCAGTAGCATCTCTGCCTGAAAATTCTCCTTTGTTGTCGACAATAAAGAACTCTTCTGAAATCAAAACCATCGACAATAAAGAACTCTTCTGAAATCAAAACCATCAGACTTTGCTGATCATTGAAGAAAGAAAAAACCACAACAATGGCAAAAAATGCACAAAACGGGAGTTTGATCTATTAAAAACAAACATGACAAGAAGGTGCGCAATTTCAACGTAAACTCTAAGTTAACATGTTTACCTTTAATACTGACTTAATTGAACCACTTTAGATCATCATATGAACCTGAATCGTTAATAAATACATTCAAATTCATTCTGGCACATGCTCACTTTGAGGAATGTTTTGCACAAAGTTTTATGAATGAGACCCTTTTTTTATTTTGGAGCTGCATACAAATTTAAATGTAACACAATTTTCTCATTTTTGTAACTTTTCAAAAAGCAGTTTTGATTAAATTTGCATAAATTATAATTTTCTGAAAAAAATTCCATTGACAGAGAGTTAAATGATCGGATTTGATTGATTCCTTGTGCAATGCTGAAAACATGAAAACCAATTATGCTGTAATTGTCCAAAACGCCTGTCCTTCGTTTTTAAATTGGTTGAAAATGTATCATTTCAAAACCCTCCTATAACGTTTTTATTTTTTTAATGATTTTATTTCAGATCAAAAACCATTTTCATTTATTACATCAACTAAATTGATGGAATGATGCCAAACTCTATTTGAGACACAATATCTGCAAAGTTTTGACAACAAATTTTGCTTGTCATTAGCTATGTTTCCATCCACCTATTTTAGTGTGCATTTTGAATATAAAAAATCGTTTGATAGAAACGCCAAGGTGCACATCAATTTTGAAAATAATAAAAAAATTGTGTGAATGGATAAACCAGCAGGCTGAGATCACTGTAAAACGTCTGACACCTTAACCATTTCAGTATTAGTGTTATTATATTATTAATGACCTCCAGAACTGCCAAGAGCGTCTGTGCTCCACGTCTCACGCCTTCAAACGCCACCACACGTTTTTTGCGTGTCAGCATAGTTTTCTGAGGTGCAAGTAATTTATTAAATATAGAAAAGTTTCACGCAGCTTCTCCTACTGCAGCAAATTCTGTTTTTGCCATTGATGTTTGGTGCCAGTTAATCAGGAAGTGACGATTTTGTTCTCTTTGACTCGTTGGATGGAAATGCTGCTTTATTTGCACGTCTTTTATGTGATATTCCAGTTTTGCATATAAAGTTCCTTTGCATTTTTGATGGACACAGCTATTGGCACATTTTTAAAGCACATTTTTAAAGCAATTATGCCACATCAAACAAAGTAATTTTATTTATTAATTTTCATCCATTTTGCTTAAAATCACCTACCAAATATCTGTTTTCATTTTAGAATTTTTGGTCTCACTGCCATGCTTGCTCATCACTTTGCTTCTGTAGTGTTCGGCCCCTTAATTGCAGCATGCAGCTGTATCACTCATTATTATTTAAAGCTTATTTTAAGCTTTAGAAAATAACCATCATTATTGCCTGTGCTCTAATTACTGTTTTCAGATGTAGGGAATGCAGCAGAACTTTACTGCCAGGCTCTTACAAGTTCACAGAGGATCCTGGAGCATTGGTTTGCACACACCACTTCACCAGATCGGCCTCCACCAATCAGAATGGACATTCAGATATGAGTAATCGACTAGCCAAATTAACCACAAGCGCAGAAGATCCACTCTGTGGAAATGATTCTGAGATCTCTCCACAGAGAGACGAAGAGAAAACAAGTGAACTAGAAGAAAGGTTAAGAAAGCAGACAGATAGCAAATCAAAGGTGGAGACGGAGGAAGGAGCAAATCCTTTTGATGAATCTGAAGAGGAGGATCGGGATATTCAGCAAGAGGACCTGAAGTCAGCTACTGATGTGGCCAATGGCGATACCCCATCAACCTCGGTAAAGAGTACTGCAGCAGAGAGTCGACCGGTACCAGCCCCTAGACGGGTTTTGGAGCCCAGTCCTGCTCCTCGCCCTGTCCCAAGGCTACGCAGATCCAGAATCTCTGAAAGCATTACTGTAAATGGTGAGCAGTGACACTGGTCTGTCTGCGTCCATAATAATGTTTGCCATTAAGCTGATCAAAATCTTGCAAGTTTTTACATGTTGTTAATATTTTTCAATTTTTAATTGTGGCTCTAGGAGATCCTGATCAAACTCAAACTCCTCAAGTTCCTGTGCCAAAAGAAAGAATGCACTCTCCTGCTCGGTAAGAAACTTGATGACATTTTTTTTATGTACATTGTTTTTAGGTTTTTTTAATGTTTTTGTTTGTTATGCAGATGGTCAAACATTTGTAACGAAAATTTTTATGTTTCTGTTTTTGAAACATGTCAAAATTTACTGCAATTAAACAATGCTTTTATATATTTGAATTTAATTATAGTATATTTTTATGTCTGTGATGGCATCTGTTGCCACATGATTTTTTTATTAATGGTTCAAAAATGCTAATTTGGTGCTCTGTTTTTACTAATACTTAATTATCAATAACGGTTCTTAACAATATAAGCATTGAGATGTTTTTGGCGTTTTTTTTTTAAATGGAGAGTGCAAAAAGCTCAACAATAAGAAATTTCTCTTGTTCATTACCCTTTACATGCTGTTTCAATCCTTTGAGATTGTAGTTTTGAAAACAAATTAAGATATTTTAGATTAAAATTGAGAGCTCCCTCATCCTCCATAGACAGCAATAGTCCAGAGACATTCAAAGTCCAGCAAAAGACCAATAAACATAACCAACACATGATCAACTGTTATCATACGCAGCTCAAAAAACACTTGTGTGGTAGGCTTGGGCGGTATCCAAATTTTGACACCGTCAAACCACCTCCCTGTTTGACCCTGGTATCCGGTATTACTGTGCATGCATAATAAGAAAAATTATGACGTAAGGCTCAGACAGCGTCAATAAATTGTTGGATTGTGCCTAAACCATTCAGAAACTCAAAACTGTATATGTGACCTTATGTTCGTGGTCACCTGTTTGTCTTGTTCATATTAGAGATCTGCGCAGGATGCTCTCTCTCATTCACACGCACGCACGCACACACACACAACACACAGAAACAAACAGCAACCATGCGGATGCGCGTGTGCTTGCTCACTCGGGAGCGATATTGTTAGACCGCGTACCTGCTCTCTTTGAAATTACACCAGAGTTAGCGACTGCTACCATGCTTTATTTGGAAATTCATTCCTGCACCGCAAGAAATCTGGTCGGCTCCCGTTGTACCGCAGCAGGAATGCAGACCTCAAGTTCGTATTTACCACGTCTCCCTTCTCGTTCGGTCAAAATACTGCCAAACTGCAGGTCACTTGGTGCGTAACTCGCCACCTCACCCTCTCACTCTCTCTCTCTCTCTCTCTCTCTCTCTCTCTCTCTCTCCTCCACACTATCCCGTGATGACAATCACGCATACACATTTGTAGGCATTAAATAAATAATATTTAATATCTATTTAAGTGCATTGTTTTTTTTCATGGCGGTATAACGGTATTGAAACGGACACCATTGCTATTTTAAGTCCCGCGGTATACCATATTACCGTATTACCGCCCAAGCCTATTGTGTGGCCAAAAAAAACTGTAAATATGACACTTTGCCGCGTCAGGCCATAAGGGTGTGTGTTGAGATGTAAGGGCAGCAAAATGTATTTCCCTTAGAGTCAACAGCACAACATGCAAGAATTGTATTGCGTGTAGAAGATGCACACTCTGATCTGATACTGGACAAAATTGTTTTGCTGTGGTTGTTGTTTTTGCCACACAAAAGTGTTCTTGGAGCTTCATATGGTCATAGTTGAATAACAGAAGTCATATGGAATGTTTTGACTGTTTTGAAGCTTTTGTTTTCGCTTCCTTTATTGGACTTTCAATATGTTAGGACCTTGACTGTCTATAGAGGACTAGAAAGCTCTCAGATTTCATCTATAATATCTTAATTTGTGTTTCAAGGATGAACAAAGGTCATTGGGGTTGAAACGACATGAGGATAATTATTAACAGAATTTTTATTTTTGGGTAAACATCCTTTATTTAGTCCTGGATGAAAAATAATTATTGTTGTTTTTGAAATATGATTTGTGAAATAATCTCTGAAGGATCATATGGCACTGCAGGCTTTTTAAAAAATCAGCTTTGCTATGGCCGAATTTTTTACAGTGCATTATTCGTAAGTATTCACACAATACTCCATAATGACATTGTGAAAAAAGGATTTTTTTAAACTGTTGCAAATTAACTAAAAATAAAAAGCCTGAAAAATCACATGTACATCAAATTGAGCTCAGGTACATTCTGTTTCTACTGATCATTCTTGAGATTTTTCATAATTGAGCTTAATTGAAGTTTACCTGCAGTAAATTGAGTTGATTGGACATGATTTGAAAAGGCATACACCTGTCTATATAAGGTCCCAGAGTTGACAGTGCATGTCTAAGCACAAACCAAGCATGAAGCCAAAGGAATTGTCTGTAGACCTCCAAGACTGGATTGTCTCGAGGCACAAGGCTGGGGAAGGTTACAGAAAAATTTTCTGCTACTCTGAAAGTTCCAATGAGCACAGTGGCCTCCATCATCTGAGAGTGGAAGATGTTTGGAACCACCAGGACTCTTCCTAGAGCTGGCCGACCATCTAAGCTGAGTAATCGGGGGAGAAAGGCCTTGGTCAAGAAGGTGATCTATAACACGATGGTCACTCCAGCGAGCTCCAGCGTTCTTCAGTGGAGAGAGGAGAACCTTACAGAAGGATAACCATCTGTGCAGCAATCCAACCAATCAGGCCATTATGGTAAAGTGAACAGACAGAAGCCACTCCCTGCCTGGAATTTACCAAACGGCATCTGAAGGACTCTCAAACCACAAGAAACAAAATTTTCTGGTCTGATGAGACTAAATTTTAACTCTTTGGAATGAACGTTTGGAGAAAACCAGGCTAATACCATCCCTACAGTGAAGCATGGTGGTGGCAGCATCATGCTGTGGGGATGTTTTTCAGCAGCAGGAACTGGAAGACCTGTCAGGATATATGGCAAGATGAATGCAGCAATGTACAGAGACATCCTGAATGAATGACTGCTTCAGAGTGCTCTTGACCTCAGACTGGGGTAAGGGTTCATCTTCCAGCAGGACAATGACGCAAAGCACACTGCCAAAATATCAATGGTGTGGCTTCTCAACAACACTGTGAATGTCCTTGATTGGCCCAGCCAGAGGCCAGACCTAAATCCTATTAAACATCTTTAGAGATCTCTGAAAATGGCTGTACACTGTCGCTTCCCATCCAACCTGTTAGAGCTTTAGAGTACTGCAAAGAGGAGTGGTCAAAAATTCTCAAAGACAGGTGTGTCAAGCTTGTGGCATCATATTCAAAAAGACTTGAGGCTGTAATTGTTGCAAAAGGTGCATCAACAAAGTACAGAGCAAAGGCTGTGAATACTTCTGTACATGTGATTTTTGAAGACACATGTTTATGTTTATATATATATATACAAACATATATATATGCAACAATTTAAAAAATCTTTTTCACATTGTCATTATGGGGTATTGTGTGTGGAATTTTAAGGAAATAAATGAATTTAATCCATTTAGGAATAAGGCTGTAACATTAAAAATGTGGGAAAAGTCAAGTGCTATGAATACTTTACAGTTGCACTACATTTTAAAATACAGTAACAAAAGAGAACAATTATTTTAAATTGTAATAATAATATTCTACATACAATATTCCAGTATTTTTTTCTAAAAAAATGCAGCCTTGGTGAGCATAAAATACTTTTTTCAACAATGTAAAAAAAATATATATATATGTATATTTTTATGTGGTAGTGGCAGCCCATCTCTAACAAACTCTTTGTAACCCTCACTCAGTAATTTAAATTCATTCCTTCCCCGGCTTTAGCAAAGCTGGTGACACTCCTAAACCAAAGGACCCGCCCTGGTTGGCTCTCGTCCAGTCAGAAACTAAGAGAAAACCAGCACCTCGCCCACCCACAGGCACAGCTGTACCTCCCAGTACTGGTGCATCTCCTTCTCGAAAAGAGGAGACATCAAGACCATCCACTCCACCAAATCCATTTGAAAATGAGGAGGAAGAAGAGGAGTCAGAACTGGGCCCTGAAGATGTCCCTGGTCCTGTAGTGGCTAGTCATCCTTGGTATGGGATCACTCACTCTACTGAGGTCCCAGGTGGGGATGCAGGAAAACAAAGTCCTGCCCGATCTGAAAGTCCCATAAGTATCCGAAGAAAGAAGCGTCCAGCACCCAAAGCTCCTAATTCTTCTACATCAGGTTAGTTGCTGCAATGTTTGAAGTCGTTCATTTTAACTAAACTCTCTGACATACACTGATGACACTTCGACTAGCTTAGTTTTAGTTTTGGCACTAGTCAGTGCCTACTAGTTGGCTGCTGGCTACAGATTTGCAGACCAGTGTATACCTGCTCTAATACAACTGAAGGGCCACAGATGATGGAATGTGTTCTGCACTTATCATAGGTCTCATCAGTGGTTCTCAAACTGTTTGATGGTTCTCAAACTGTTCTGTCAAGTGTAGCCTGTTAACCTGTTGTAAAAAAAAATAAATGAGCGAAAAGAAAAGAAGAACCCAGTCCAGGAGACTCGAAACAAGCAGAATTCCTTTATTGAGACGTGTTGGTTAATCTGCAGTCATACAGCGTCTTCAAGGTGTCCAATGTGTCTGCAAGTTCTTTCACAAGTCTCTCACAAGTCTCACACAAGTCTGAATTAGTCTGAATTGAGACAAAGATTTCATGTCTATATTGTGTTCTTAGGAGGAGGGGATTTGGCTAAACAAAGCATGCAAATTAAGGGTTGTGGTCGGCAGGGTAAACTGCTCTTTCAGGCTTTGATCTCATCATGTTCTGGAGACAGAAACCGCCTGACCATTTGATCGAAAAGAGAAAACAATAGACACCCCATGCTGTGAAACTGATAATTGCATCACTTTGGCTTAGCCTGTAGTCAGCAAGGCAAAGGTTATATGACCCTCCTAGCTGGCATGTCAATGAAATAATATAATTAAAAACCAGAGAATATAACTTTTTAGTTATACGTAGATTATTGTTAATTTGAAATTAGATGATATAAATTTATATTTCCACAGTTCCCCCTTTGAGAGTTATTTAAAAACTCTCACAAAAAAATATAAATTTGTAAGCTTTCCTAAAACCAAAGTTTGATAACAGTTCTGTTTGATAACAGAAGCCCCATCTTCTAGTCATGTAACTTGGAAAAAGTTACAGGCACATTTAAACTTATTCTGTGTCATTTCAATATCTATGTAGATGTAAGTGTAGATTTCTAAACTGTTCACACGTTTATGACAATCAGTTGTAATGTCATAAATCCTACATGATGACACAAAAATCATGTAGTTAAACTGCAGATCTTCTGAAAGGCCATGGCTTGTGAATAGTGTTCAGTCTTTTGTGAGGTGTGTTTCTTGTGGTTCTTCTCCTGCACAGAGTTGATCTGATGACTTCCTGTCATTCCTGGATCTCCGTAGTGATGCTCTGGTTTAGAGTGTTTCTTGAGAAGATGCAGTGTTTGTGTTTATCTGCACACAAGAAAACAAGGAAACAGCAGACCAGCAGTATTCATGCATAGACTTGTATGATCATAGTTCGTGTGTCTTGTTATTCAGGTGATCGTATAGTGGTTGTGTTAAGTTGGTGATAGTATAGTGTTGTGTATTTTCTGTCTCCTAATCTTAAAGTTATGACACCTATAAAACAGTGAGGTGAGGATAAATGGGGAAAAAGGGAGTCTTCACCACAGGGTGCGGCCCCTGAAGCCTGTTGCTTTCAGTTCTGCCCTGGGCTCCTCAATGGTTTGTGTGTCCTGTTCTGTCCCTGAGTGTGGTGGGCAAACTTTAAAATGTGAGACACAAACTATCATTCAATAAATATCAGTCCTATCAGACATCATAACATTGAATGGGTAGTGACTGGAAAATGTGTTAAACACATTCAAGGCTGTAAGTGGACTTAAGCGGAGTTCCCCAATAAAAAGGAAGAAGTTTCCTTTGTGTCTTTTTACAAAGAGTCTTTCATCTTAATTGTAAATGAACTGGGACATTAAGCACTCACAGCCAAAAATGGTTAGCATCTTTGTGGACAGCTCAATGGATTTAGTGATGAGGGGAGGGGTATGTTGAGGGCATTTAGCAAACTGTTCAGAAGTTGATTTACCCTGTTCATCTCTTTAAAGTTCTTTTTATTCTTTCTACACTCCCTCATCCAATGTCCTTTTTTACCACAGTAATGACAACAGATATTTTTCCTAAGACATTTGTGATTTGATGTCTTTTCTGTGTTGACTTTAGTGGCGGCTGCTTCAAATCTGACTCTGTCTTTGATGTAAGAGTCTCTTTCCCACAAAGCTAAACTGTTCATATTATTTCTGAGAGTGGTGGAAGACCAGGTGATGTTAAGAAATGGCAAAGCTTGTCTGTATTCAGTTGCAAGGCCATCTGACCAGATGCGGACTAGGGGTCCCTTATTATTTAGCACACTGTCCGAATTATCAGCTAATCCACTGTAAGTTATGGCGGATTGACAAAATCTCTCAGTGAATTCATTCACAGATTCATCTTTCCTTTGCACACAACAAGTCACTTTTGACCAGTCGATCTTTGGGCCAATAATGTTCTTTAGAGCTTTCAAAACACCCTCTCTCAAATCATCCTTACTGGCATGTTGTAGTTTAGAGGTCACAGTATGCTCAAAACTGTTGAATTCAGATTCAGTGAGAATTTGAGACATTAGCTGGGTGACTTCTGTTAATGACATGTCATAAAGACGCATTTTGCTGATTAGTGCTCTGCTAAACTCTGAAAAATTTGTGCGTGCTGATGGTAAGCTTTGAGATAATCTGTCTATTTCTCTAGGTCCTAGTGTTCTGGAAACTGTTTGAATTTGAATAACAGGAGTGTTGTTGTGTGAACTCTCAGTTCTCTTAGATCTTCTGGCACCACAAACCTCCACTGAACCTATGAGCAAATCACTATCTGATTGGATGGAAATGTCTGTTTCAGAGACAATTTGTAAGTCAGGATTTTTATTATCAGGCTGACTAACCTCCTCAATGTCAGTTTTTGATTTCTTTAGGTTCAGTTGTTTTGTTAATGAGGTTATCTTAGCATGAAGCTCTTGGATCTGTTTCTCTAATTCAGATTTAGCCTGAGCTTTTTGTTTAGCTCGAGATAAATTGAATTCTCTGTAGCAGCAGATAATGCCTTTTACATTGTTTTTGCGAATGCATGCATCAAGCACTTTCTTGCATTCATCTAATGTCCAAACATTATCTGGGTCAATGCTAAATTTTTTTGTCAAATTTAGTCTGACTGACTCTGTTATTGAGTCCATGTGCTGTCGTAGCAGCGATTTGAAATCCTGATCTGACAATAAAGGAGTTTTTAAACTACCTTTTTCAGTTGTAGTGATCAGTCTTGTATTCTGTCTGAACATTTTGTGAGCTTATTATCACAAAGTAAAAATACTAAAACTTTTCAGATGAAAGTGTAGTAATTTCTTCTCTGGCGAAACAGAGGGTAACAATATTAGCACATGTTGCTAAAACTTCCTGCCTGAACAAGAGATAACATCAGTTAGCTTGTATAGCTAAACTTAAACTTCTCTAATTGAACAGAGGGAAAACAAAATAAAAGAAAAGAAAATAGCGCATAAGGCGTAACTTCTCTGAAGAGAGGATAACTTTTTAAAAGAAAATAGCACGTAAGGCTTTACTTCTCTATCTAAACAGAGGATAAAATGTTACTTCTCTATTGAAATAGAGAATAACTTTTTGTTAAACAAACCCTGCAGCTGTTTGTTAACTTTTCTCTGATGGAGCAGAGAATAACCATGTGTATAGACTGGTCTGTATAGTTCTTTTGATAGAGTGAAACTCACCAAATCGAGGTTGAGCTGAAAAGATTCAGTCTGGAGTGATCTGATCTTTGTATTCAGGTAGCTTCAATGTTCATCAGGGTTGCAGTCAGCAAATAGTTGAGAATTTGTGACGTCCGCTGAGTGACTTCAAATTGCCGTTGAGCTGAAGATTCCGTCTGAAGAAGTTTCCTTGATCTTGAAGGTTCAAGTTGAATTTCAGGTAGATTTCAGTCTTTTGTGGCAAATTGTTGAGAATTTGATGATTTCAGTTTCTATCCGGCTCACGGCACCAAGTTGTTGTAAAAAAAAATAAATGAGCGAAAAGAAAAGAAGAACCCAGTCCAGGAGACTCGAAACAAGCAGAATTCCTTTATTGAGACGTGTTGGTTAATCTGCAGTCATACAGCGTCTTCAAGGTGTCCAATGTGTCTGCAAGTTCTTTCACAAGTCTCTCACAAGTCTCACACAAGTCTGAATTAGTCTGAATTGAGACAAAGATTTCATGTCTATATTGTGTTCTTAGGAGGAGGGGATTTGGCTAAACAAAGCATGCAAATTAAGGGTTGTGGTCGGCAGGGTAAACTGCTCTTTCAGGCTTTGATCTCATCATGTTCTGGAGACAGAAACCGCCTGACCATTTGATCGAAAAGAGAAAACAATAGACACCCCATGCTGTGAAACTGATAATTGCATCACTTTGGCTTAGCCTGTAGTCAGCAAGGCAAAGGTTATATGACCCTCCTAGCTGGCATGTCAATGAAATAATATAATTAAAAACCAGAGAATATAACTTTTTAGTTATACGTAGATTATTGTTAAATTGAAATTAGATGATATAAATTTATATTTCCACAACCAGCATAATAGTTGAAGATTAAGCTTCAAATTTCTCTATTATTTCAGCAATAATTAAGACAAAGCTTCTTGATTTCAACCGTGCTTTTTTAAATGTTTTTTGTTAAAACTTTACAAAACTGTATTTATTTATATATTTAAATAACCTTAATATATATAAAAAAAAGTGTATAGTTTACAGCAGTGGTCCACAACCGGTACCGCTCTGTGGATCAATTGGTACCAGGCCGCACAAGAAATCATGAGTTATTTCAGTTTTATTTAGAGTCTGAATAATCTTTTTAAAAATCTTTTATTTTAAAAGATATATAATCGTATTCTCTCGGTTATTTCTCGGTCACATGAACGCCAAAATTTAGCCCACAAGCTAGCAAAAGGAGTAAGAAACAGACAGATGTGTTTGGAAAGTTTCTTTGCGAAGGGGGAAAAGGCCTAGCGAAGGACCTGTGAACTGCCAAGGGTAAGGATCATGCAACCATTTTGCCAGTAAATAAGGAGAATCAGCAAGAAGATCAACTGCTGGAGATTGCAAATGATGTCGGCAAAAAATTATGGCGCAACGCACTTGAAAACATCTTCAGAATGCTGGGAGCATTGCTTAATCAGCTTGTCATCCTCTGAGAAAACGGTCGATGGGTGCCTAGCATCTACATATCTACATATACCCACCCCTCGGGTCGGTAAAATTGTAAAGCATTGACTGGTCCACTGTGATAAAAAAGTTGGGAACCACTGGGTTACAGTAATCACACCTGATAAAAAATATCAGAATAATAATTCACCCAAAACTGAAAAAATTGCCATCATTAAATCACTTTTCACTTTTTTTAAACCTGTTTGAGTTTGAAGGTATTCTGAAGAAAGATAGAAACCTGTAACCATTAACTTTCACAGTACTTTATTTTTTACTTCCATTTGTTTGTCCTACTATGGAAGTCTATGGTTTCAGGTTTTAAGCTTTCTTCAAAATATCTTGTTTGGTAAATAAAGAAACTCATGATGGTTTGAAACCTCCTAAAGGGTGAGAAAAAAGTGAATTTGGGTGAACTATTTCTTTAGCTTTAATGAATGAGGCCTAATTCTTGAGTGTTACAAAATTGTTTCTAATTAGTTCAACCACAAATGAAAATTTACTCAAACTCAAGTGGTTCCAAACCTGTATGAATTCTTTATACTAAATAAGATATTTTAAGGAAAGCTGAAAACCTGTATCCATTGACTTCTATAATAGGAAAAACAATTATTATAGTCAGTGGTTACAGGTTTCCAATTTGGATTAAAAATAAGTCAAACGGGTTTGGAGCAAGTGAAAGGTAAGTAAATGATGACATCATTTCCCTTTAACCCATCATCTCACATGTGTGTTTTCTGTATTTGTGTATTTTTTTCTATTACCTTTTTCCTGCTATTCTTTAGCTTTTCCTTCATCTCAGACTTCCTCTCCTGCTTCTTCTCTAGCTCTGAGCACAGAGAGTCTTTCCTCCTCTTCCTCAGACTACAGTGCAGTCCCCCAGAAAGCTGCTGCTAATGAGCAGGACCACTTGTTCACCAAGAGTGTGTCTGAACCATCGATCAACACTCCAGCCTCTGCCTTGTCTCAAAAAGCTGAGCTTCAGCCTCGCTGTTCTCCAAACCTGTCTCCTCCACCTCCCCCACCGACCAATACCAGCTCAGCACCAGCAACTCCACAAACCAATCGCAGTGCGAGACCACCCAGCCTTTCTGCCGGCCTTAAAATTACACCCACTTCACAGACACCTGGAACTCCAGGCAAGGTGAGCTTTTTTAAAAGTTTTGAAACCATGAAGATTTTGTTCCCTATATAAATGAAATGTTTTTTAGGGCTGTCAGTTGATTCAAATGTTTGATCTAATTACATAATGTAGTGATGATTTAATTAAATTGTTTGCAAATTAATCACAAAACAATTTGGTAAATGCTATAAGCATCGAGTGGACATTACAAAAAGTAGCTTAAGGAAGAAATATTTAGATTCAATGTGGAATTTACTGCACACATTTTAGACTATGGCAGAAATTCAATCAGAAATTGAAATGAAATTGAGATTTAGATAAATTTAGAGACCAATTATTGCAACTCCAAAACCATCAAGGTTCTTCTAACTATTTTTTTAAGTTCAGCAAAAAAAAAAAGAAATTCATACAGGTTTAAAATGACACAAAGATTAGTAAATTATGGCATAATTTGTATTTACTTGAGAACTACATGTCTGATAAAGAGTGTTTAAAGAGCCCATATTTTGCATTATAAAAGATCGTATTTTGGTTTTTGAGATCTCCAACAACAGGTTAATTTGCATGCAGGGTCAAAAACACTTTCATTGTCTTATAACATGCATTTATTTTTATCTTATTATCCCAGCTACTCCCATATGATTTGTGCAGCGATTAATTTGTTCCCAAATCCCTCCTTAGCACGAAGCTAATCTGTGCTGATTGGTCAGATGACCCAGTCTGTCTGCCCAACATGGCTATAAAGTAGCAGAGTATGTGAGAGACCAATGCAGGAGTGCAATAAAGCAATGCAGTTAAACAGCAGTATATTACTCTACTCTTAAACCTAACCCCAATTAATAACAATGGCACACATTCAGTATTAATCCACACAGTGGCAAAACTTTAGCTATTTTGAAAATTGACCGCGCTGCGCATGTGAAGGAACAGCTGATGGTGGCCATAGCAAAGGCTAACGGCAGAGGATTGCGCGATCAGAAACGCATTTAAATCTGTAAAGGAAAAAGCACTCGTAGCATTTTCAACATGGTTTTGGACACGATATGTGAACAGCCCCATAAAGATTAAACCTGAGAGATACAGTACACACACTGATCTATAATAGATAAATGATTATAAGGTGCGAGGAGCTATTACAAGTTACAACACACAATTAAACACATATTTTGCAAACTACACAAAATGAGGCAACAATTTTAATTACACATGCATGTTATGATCCGGAGGAAGAAGAAACTGGTCCATATTGACTGTAATAGGTAACATACTACAAAGTCCCTGTCAAAGTCCAATACGTAATAGTCTCTGCTGCTCCGGCCGACAAATCTTGCGTTGCAGCGTAGGTTATTGTATCTAAAATCAAAAAAATGACAGGAACAAACACAGCTCACAGTTGGCTATACTGTGGTATTGTTGTGAAAATAAACTTAAACTTTAAACTTTAACCAGCTGAATCTCCATCTGTCAGTGATCGTCATCTTCGTGCCATGATCAGTCCTGTGATCCCCCATGCTCTACTAGTGTCTGAAAGAAATCGCGTTCACGTTTTTACCGGAACCGGTACTACATATTTGGTGTTGTACCATGTTGACGCGTTTAAGCAAAAAATACGAACCTAACACGATTCATTTATTAGACTCTTGAGTCGACTATTTCGATAATGAATCAATAGTTTTAAACACAGTGCACTTTCAGATTTAAACCTCAGCTGGATGTTTTCATTCACTTAGTGCTGTTACACACTGCATGAAAGCTCATTTTTAAAAACCCATAATAGGTGCTCTTTAATGAAATAACTCCTTTAATAAAAAACTAATTCTACTAAGTCACTGATTATTTGTTCATGCAATTTGTTCAAACAAATGATTCATCAATTTATTCAGAAAGGAAGTATTAATGTAATGTATAGTGTATTGATCAATGCACAGCAGTTTTGCAGGCAATATTTTTTTCTTTGGGATACAAGGTGAAAAAACAGGCAGTTATTTGTTGAACTTTTTATTTACTGAACTGAACTTGTAAAAAACATTAGTACTATTCAGAACAAACACAGCTATTTAGAACAAACTCATCCCTCAGGGTGATATTTAACTCCTTGCTCCTGTGCTTAACTATCATATACAAATATTAGACAACTCATATGGGACAAGTTTGCTCCAGTATCATAAAATTTATAAATTCATTTTATTGGTTTAGTCACTGTGAGTTGTTCTCATACGTACCTAATGGTAGTCACTAGACAGCTGTATGAAGTGTAATATGACTTCCACAGATCTGGGGCAAAACGGGTGTGTTTACAGCATTTAATTGCACTATTGTTATTCATATAACTAATTAATTAAATTAAGGTATTAATTAGGCAGCCCTTCATTTTGTATGTTTTTTGTTGTTGTTTAAAATAGAGATAATTATTCGACAATTCTGAATAGACGCTAAACAATAAAACATGCAAATTACTAAAGATTCTATTAACTCTACTATAAACGTTTATCCCAGTATATTTGTGATAATTAGATGTAATACAGAAATAACACAAAACTAACAATACTATACATCAATCTATTGTAATCCTACAGTTCATTTTGCAGCTGTACTGTCGTACTTGTCTAGTGGATTCTTGGCACTTTTTATGCAGTTGTTGGACATTGGCAAATAGATGAATTGTCTTTCTCATGACTCTCAAAATGTTGGCATTTTGACACTTGAGATTTCATTACAAGTTTTTACATTTTGGATCTTGGAAATTCTACTGAATCTTAATTTTTGTGATGCTCTTTCATCACCTTCACCTGTAGCGCACCTGTAAAGAGAATCCATTCAATCGGAAGACAACCACCTCTGCCAACTCTTTCGTGTCCAGACCTCCAAAAGGACCCCGTCCTGCAAGACCTCCTGCTCCTGGACATGGATTTCCTCTAATTAAACGCAAAGTGAGTTATCTTTTTTGTTGTTTAGTGTCATGTTTTATTTATTTATTTATTTTTTACAATTTAACTGTGCAATATCCATTGCTATAGTGCTAATATCATATAAAAGTGATGATTATAGTTGTGTCCCAAAACACACAATATGTTCTTATGTACTAAAATGTATATTGACCTTAGTGTCATCCAAAATGCAACACAAATTTTTTTTCTTAAATTTTTTTCATTAGAAATTCAAAGGGTTTACACTGCAAAAAAATGCTTTACTTGGATTTTTTTATTGTTTCTATTCCAAATATCTAAACATTCCTACAATCAAGAAGTTGTGTTTTCTTAAGAAATAAAATGCCAAAAATAAGTGAGTTTTTCCCTAAACGAGCATAATTATCTTGTTTTTTTCTTTCGACATAAGATTATTTTGCTTACCCCATTGGCAGATTATTTAGCTTGTTTTAGGGAAACACCAAATTTTAACATATTATTTCCTTAAACAAGCACCCTTCTGCTATGTGGCTATTGAGTGGCTGATTGTAACTACACTTATTTTTAATCGGTTGAATAAATACATTATCTGAGTATTTAATGTACACTAATCCCTTTCAGAATATTTGTCATGAATATTTGATCATTCGCAATAGTCACATCGCAAGCATATATTTTATACATTTGCACTCCCCTACAGAATCTTCCCAATCAATCTAAAATAATTAGTTCTTTCCAAATAGTTATTCAACTCCTTTAGTAAAATTGTATTCATATATATATATATATATATATATATATATATATATATATATATATATATATATAACAAAATAAATAAAATATTGCAATGTTAGATTTTTCAAATATCGTACAACCCTATACTTTATAATGGCATACAGTGTTTAAGTATGTGGTATTGGATGTTGTGAACTCAGAAGCAAAGAGGGAGAGTCATCAAGAAGTCTGACTAGAGCAATGTTATCCTGTATTTTATAGATATTTTAAGGGGAAGTGCTTATAGGTGGAAACAAATCACTGGATTGAAATCTTTAAAGAGCCCATATTATACATGAAATAGGGTCATATCTTGGTTGTAAGGGTCTCCAACAACAGTCTAATATGCATGCAAGGTCAAAAAACACTTTCATGGTCTTATAATCTGCATTTATTTTTACCTAATTATTCCAGCGACTCCCGTATGAATCGTTCAGTGATTCATTTGTTCCCAAACCCCTCCTTAGCGCGAAGCTAATCTGCACTGATTGGACCGATGACAGTGTGTTGCGATTGGTCGACTGCCATCAGTCAGAGAGTGAAATGCTCACAAACACACATATTGCCCTCGTCCTTGCGCGCACGCACACACAAACACACACACACACACCTCCGGACGACAAAGCTTCCGCCCGCACCCGCCAGTTTTTAGCCTGAACCTGACCGATCCCGCTTATATTAAGAATTTGTTGTCCCGGTGCCCGACCCGCCCCATTTTCTGCCCGCTGCGCCCGATCCCGCTAAAGAGCGGGGGAGAACATAACCGAAAATCACCCAGCTAAACAGTCCAGACACCCAAGCTGTCTGTATAAACACACACACAAGCACCAAGCACACACACAGGCAAAGCTCTCTCTCTCTCTCATTCGCATAGCAATATCCGCGATATTGCTAGACAGCCCGCTCCCGTCCCAAATTAAACCTGTTACCGACCGGTCCTGCGATTTATTCGGAAATTTATTCCCGCGCCGCAGAAATCTGGTCGGGTCCCGCGGCGGGAATGCAGACCTCTACCACGGAGCTCCGTAAACAAAGCAGCACGCGTCACATTTTTAACGTGGCTTTGCACGCGATAAGAGAATATAGCCAGTTAACCTGATACAGTACACTCGGTTACAAGTAACAAATCACAACTAAATACATTTGCAAGCTAGAGTCAACGAGGCAACAACTTTAATCACACGTACTTACACTTGAGAAATGAAGGAAGAAACCCATCCTGACGTCCATCAGTAAGTTACTCTTTACTGATCCTTCCTTTAACAAACGCCGATGAAGTCTTCTTTGTAGCATGTAGTTTGCAGAGGTTTCCAGTAGTTTCCAACTGCTTGGTTATTATGCTGAGGTTTCATCTTTGGGTAGAGATTCGATAATATCCATCTGCAGTGTGACTTCAATCGACCGGCATGTTTGTGTGGGTGTGTGTGTGTGTCTGGGTTTCTGCGTCAGAGGGCGGGGCCTCAGGTTTGAAATCTCCCGGGTTTGCGCGTGCACCTGAATAACTTGGTTTCGTTCGTACATCATGGCGAAACACCTAATGACTCGGTATCAAGGCGACTCGTTTGAAGCACTGAGTCGACTCTTTTTTTTGGATGAATCACCCGTTTTAAACACTGTACTCTTACAGATTTAAGCCTTAGCTGGATACTTCACTTCACTTAGAGCTGTGTTACACACTACATGGAGGGGAATTTTCAAAAACCCATAATATGGGCTCTTTAACAAAGCATGCAAATCAAGTACAGGATTCAGCCTGGCAATGAACCTTCCGGTCCTAATTTTATCAGCACAGCAGTACCTATTTAAATGCATAGGTGCTAATCCAATCAGCCTGACAGTATTGCCCTGAACTACATAGAGACATAGGCAAAGCCATGCCCTGAACTTTTGAGCATTTGCATTACTTTGGGAACCTACCTGATGCACCTGTCTCATGCACCTTTTCACACTGTGCATTCAGTTATATTCTATACCATTGGGTCCTAGATTTTATACATTTGTCATTTCAAAGGACACAGCTACTGTTTTTTTTTTTTTTTTTTTTTGCTTTTTTAACCTTTACTTGTTCTTTATAGATGGTCAGAATGCAAGTAAAATGGTACTACCCTATGGTACTATGATGCTGTGATGATTTTACCGCATTAGTATGACAGCATTATTTTTTTTTTTCCTGTATTTGGTAGGTTCAGTCAGACCAGTTTATCCCAGTAGAAGACATCCATGTTGAGATGAGTGATCTGGAGAAACGGTTGGATGAATTGGAACACAGAGGGGTGGATTTGGAGAAGAGCTTACGAGAATGTTCAAATGGTAAGAGAACCACACTCTACACATGTTATCATCATTCTGATTTTTCTAAAAGGACTCTATGAAAGCACTTTGACTTTGGGTCACTTAAAATTTGTATTACCATCCAGGATCCTTAAGGCTGGGACACACTAAATTGATGCCAAAGAACTAGCACCAATGAAAGCCAACTGTGTTGTTACCTTGGTTGTTGTCATCTGCCAATTTACTAATCCATATTGTTTGCAAATATTTGAGAATTGCAGCAAAGTTATAGCCACCTGCTTCGTTGTTCGTTGTTCCATGTTCCATGTCAATTTGCATCTCTTAGGCTGGTTTGTTTGTTGTGTTCCACAGGGTTTTTTGTGTTCCGCCGGGTTTACTCAATTAGCTGGATTTGGATATTGACGATTTGACACGATCCAGGATCGTTTTGTTCTTCAAAACTCATCTGAAACTTGTTGTCATAGCAACAGTTCTGGTAGCTCAAACCTGCTTGAGAGCAGGTTCATTTCATATAAACAGGATTAGATTGGGTCAGTTCTAGCAAATGTAAAACTGAGTTTGTACCAAATGCTAATAATTTCTTACAGTAGTTATATACACTTGGGAAAATAGTAAAATAAATAAATAAATAAAACGTATAACTTTTCAGATACAAACGTGTACATGCACAATATCGACTTTTTTGTTTTTAAAAGATAATAATTTATGCAATCATGCACGTTTTGACCGCTAATATGCTGATGATTGACGCTATTACTGATATCTAAATGCTTTTTGGATGCAAAATTAATTTTTACAGTTATTCCTTATACCAATTAAAAAACTTGAGTAGGCCTTGCCTACTATAATAAAGAAAATCTTCTCTAGATTTAGAACTAAATACATTGATATGCATTAAAATACTTGTTGAATACTCTTTGACTAGGGATGCACCGATATGGATTTTTTTGGCCTGCTGAGAACCGATAATTCTTCAGACTTAGAGGCTGATAGCCGATATATATATATATATATATATATATATATATATATATATATATATATATATATATATATATAGGCAGATAATTATAAATATTTCAAAATGTTATATTTTTATAAAGCAAACTTCATAAAAGATTGAACAGCTCTTTTGAACTGAATAGTCTATACTTAAAGCAAAAAAGCTATCATTTTAATATTGCAAGGTGATTATATAGACTTATATTTACGATTTCCCACAAATCAGCATGCAAACAATACATTATTTCCTTTTCTTCACAGCAAATTAACTTGCAACTTGACTGTTGCATAAAAATAGTAGGTTATATTACAAAGTGTTATTTTATAAACAAGCAAGTTAAATATATTTTAAATAAGATGAAAATGAAAGAGTTAAACTCTAAAACCAGCTCAAATGTTCTTGAATAAAACGTGTTACAGTGATGTACATATGAACAAATATGGAATGTCTGAAAAAGCCTTTTTTAGAGATGTTTTGACCGTTTTGAGCTACCAAACAAGTGAAAAGCTAGTTACGGAATGTAATATTTTAGAAAATGCGGCATGAATTTATCCTATTTGGCGTTTTAGATTCTTTTGAACGCATGTAGCATCAACGCTTCTGTCTTCGTTCTTGCTGTCAATCGCGGGGAAAATAATCGATGAAAAGTTTATGATAAACTGCTGTGAGGGCGCAGATTTGTCCTAGGAGTCAGATTTTAATACAAATCTGAGCGTTGAGCTCAGATGACTTTATGACAAACAAGGAGCAGAATATAGAGACAGAATGTGTGGCGAGTTGAGAGCCCATTTGCTGGATTCAGTGACCGGTGCACCTAGCTCCCCTGTTGATCTGTGTGTGTGTGTGTGTGTGTGTGTGTGTGTGTGTGTGTGTGTGTGTGTGTGTGTGTGTGTGTGTGTGTGTGTGTGTGAGCGTGTGTGTGAGCGTGTGTGTGAGCGTGTGTGTGAGCGTGTGTGTGAGCGTGTGTGTGAGCGTGTGTGTGAGCGTGTGTTTGAGCGTGTGAGCGTGTGTGCGTGCGAGAGAGAAGCGAAGAGGGAGGTCAGTGATGTTCCCTCTTTGGTGATTGGACCAAGTTACATGTGTCCTCGTTCATTCACCGGCTGCAACTAAAAGAGAAGGTAGTTAACCCCGAAACTAATATTATTCGGCCCTGGTGTAATAAGTGAATCTCCTCTGCTATCTCTAACACATCAAAGAGACAGAGCAGGAAAGGTTTACACATGTAATATTTTTTCCTGAGGCGACTTGAAGCAAAATACAAAATGACACTCAATCAAACATATCTACAATAATGAGGAACATGGTTACTTACCACATGAAGAAAGGACGGACTTTGAAGGAATAAACTGTGTGAGGAGAGCTCCATTATAGTGCACTGAACATGTTCCGCCCACGCGTGCGTGGCAGGCAGGTCTGTACAATTACGTAATTTATCAGCTTAAAGATATTGGCCTAATTTAGACATCAGATTGATAACGATAATCTAACGATAATCTTAAAAATAACATTTATTGGCCGATATGGCTGCCGATATATCGTGCATCTCTACAGCTAATCGTTAAAGTGCTGATCATGATTTCGAGGATCGATACATCAGTCCTTCACAACACACACAGCGATCTCGGATCAGTTTATTCAGACATTTTAATCTGATTCAGGAATTTGCTTGAAGAACTAAATTAGCCAAAGATCAGTTATAAAGATTAAAAATTCCAGGATCTGACAAATCATCTTGCTTAAATCATTTAATCGAAGTTCGAAGAAAAGACCTCAGAAAAGGGTTTGGAGAGAGTTATTACAACTTAACAGACACCTCCTCTAACAACATTTATGTTTTTTGTTGAAACTGACAGTTGGAGCAGCATGGTTAAATATGTTATGTTAAAATATACATAATCTGACAATTTACCTGAAAAAAACATGTGCATTTTCAGATTTCAATTAAAGAATATAAGGGCAAACAATGTTTTTTTTTCTTTCTTTTTTTTTCTTAATGACATGCACAAATGAATTATTTACTACAAAACTAGCAATGTGAGCTAACAAAATCATATGGTTAGTTTTGATTCCATGGAAACTTAGGAACTTGGACTAATCTTCATAAAAATATACAGTTCTAAATTCAGATGTCGCTTGCTGTTGATCTAGATCCAGAATTTGCACTCTGTCCCATTTCTAGTTAGAACCAATCTCTCTGTTTGGACATTTCAGATGAGGAGGAGGAACATCTACTTGTTGACTGGTTCACCCTGATTCACGAGAAGCACTTACTAGTACGAAGAGAGGCTGAGCTTGTTTACACGTAAGTGAACTACAGAGTACATTTGAAAAAGCTGAAACATCAATAAGATCCAAAGTTCCTCTTTCTGTATGATGTGCAATTAATCTGAATTTGTCTTACATGTATTACTAAACAAATAAGTAAAAATAGAATTATATAATGCTTCAACATTCATTTTACAGGATAAACTGTACATATGCTAGCACAATAGAGACAATTAAGATTGCCTTCGAAACATTTGACATCTTTTTTTGTGAGGAAATGAAAATTATTTATTTAGCAGTATATTTGATGTTTCTTTTTAGTCTGCTTAGCCTTGTTCCACATAGACTGAAGGAATTGTTAGCTTAAGCTTTTTTACATAAACTGTTTATGGTGAGTGTTTTCATTTCTACATTCTTATTAATAGATCATGTGGTGCAGCATCTCAAACCAGCAGTGAGCATTTAGTTTTAGCTCTTAGCCTTTTTTTTTTCATGGCTCACGCTGAACTCAGCATCTGTGACTGCTCTAGAAAAATAAAAATAGCAGGAGATAAAATCAATTCAAACATATTTCAACTCTGAATGCACGTGACAGTCAGGGTGTCTGTGGGGTCTGGAAATGTCTTAAATTTCAAAAACTAAATTTTAAGCCTTAAAATAAAATAAATAAATTCACTGAAATATTGTGTTGTAAGTCTTGAATCTTTTAAGGAAGGTCTTGATATTTCCTCTGTCCAACTAAAGCCACCCAGTCGGGTCAATGCACAACCAATTATCAACAATCCATCTAAATAAAACTTGCAAAGAGACAAAATCACAACAGCTTTTAGACATTTTTACAGAAAATATTCTAAATATAATCCTCTAATCAGGAAAAGAAAACTATAAACAATTACCTAATTCCTCATGACAATAACAGGGCAATATATGCATTTATATGATCTTCCATTTATATAAAAACTATTTACAAAAGTAAAGGGTTGAACATGAAATTTATGAATAAGCATGAAACTTAAGATTTTATAACAAAAATGTATTCGTTTAAAAAAATATATTGAAGTAAAATATTGACATTAAAATATGTGGCTTTGAAGTAACTATATTTCGAATTTTTATTTTTTATTTTCTGGGAAGCAAAAAAACTAATTCCATTGGTCCAACTGGACCATTGCAAAAAATCAATGAAAAAGGTTTAGCTTCGTATAAGTCTAAAATTTTATTCATAAGGGTATTAAAAGGGCCTTACAAAGTTAGAAACCCTGTAATAGAATAAACTTTTATTATGCTGTTCCTTTGACCAATTTAAGTATTTTATTAAACTGCTAATAATTATTATAATTAGATTATATGAAATCCCTTGACTGAAAAAAAAACTTTGATCTGAAGTTCCGGTTCCACAAGCAGGGTGTCCGTGGGGTCTTAAAGTCTTAAAAATCAAAAGCTAAATTTTAGGCCTTAAAAAGTCTTAAATCTACTGAAACGTTGTGTGTAATGTGTTTTGTTTTGTTTTTTATTATTGTTGTGTACTGAAGTAATCGGGGGCTATGTTTTGTTAGTCTGGGTTATAGGGTTTGTGAATGGATATATTTGAAAATTTATTTTAAAATATTCAAAAGAAAATTATTGAAAAGCAAAAAGAAAACTATTATTATTGTATTAAATTTTAATCATTTTTGATAGGGCAAGTGAAAATCTTTTCTAATTGAGATATTCTGAAAAAAATCTTTAGCATTTAGCCCTGTATAAGTTAAAATTTTAATTCATAATGGCCTTAAAAATGTGTTGAAAAGTCTTACATTTAACTGCAGTAACCCTGGATAGAAGCAACCAACAGTCTCTAGCATAAATGTTTGACCAGTATGTACCACTGTGCCATAATATTGATGCTCATTTATTTTATTCAGTTAATATTTTCCATTTTTGTGTTTGAAATTGGTTTGAGAACAGTTTGAAAACTGCTGCCATAGCAAAACTTGTGTCTCTAAAATAAAAATAACGCATGTGCCCCAACTGTTGTTGTCAGAACATAACATGTGAAATGTGAATAATGTTTGATCACTGTGTGGATTTCAGAGCTAAACAGCAGAACCTGGAGGAGAGGCAAGCCGATGTCGAATATGAACTCAGATGTTTACTTAACAAGCCAGGTATGAAACAGCACAAAACTGAACATTCTTTGATTTAACCTTATCTCATGAGTAAAATACTCCTCCTTTCCTGAAATAACAATCCTTCTTTATTTTGTCTCTCCTTTATCTATATCTCTCTTTCTATGTAAATCTTTCATTTCTCTGACAGAGAAAGAGTGGACATCGGAAGACAAAGACAGGGAAAAGCAGTTGATGGCAGATCTCGTTACTATAATTGAGCAGAGAAACCAAATCGTAAACAATATAGATATTGACAGACAGAGGTACTGTAAGCAGTCTGTTTACATGAACTCTGATACACTGATCTTGAACTTGAGTAACTGCAGCTAAGCTTTTTTCCCCTCTGTTTAATCTGATATGGAATATGAAGCAATTTTATTAGTATCACGTTTGAATGCGGTTTTGTGAAATTCCATAAATTCTTTTTTCAGGGAGGAGGAGGAAGACAAGCTAGTAGCTGCTATGCTGAAGAAAAAAGGTCAGTGCTATTTCTTTTTTCACCCCCGGTCTTATCTGAAACATTTATACTAATACACTTTGCTTTATTTCTTTGCTCAGACTTTCATGGTCAGGGTGAGCAGAAGAAGAAGTCAGGGAAGTTTAAGCCAATGAAGGTTCTGAAGAGACTGAGCACCAAGAATGAAGGAGTAAAAGACAACAGTCCCCGAAAAGAGAACAGTTGAAGAATGGACTGACTGAAGGAAAGAAAAAAGTACTAGGAACATTTACTAAATGTTTCTTATATCTAAATAGTGCTTTTAAAAAAACTATTGCTATAAAACAGAGCTAATTTGCCTTTTAGGTAGTAGCGGCTGAGTTGTTAAGCCGAGTTCACAATTCAAGCGTGAGCGGCACATGAGCAGTGCGTCAGCGTTTGTGGCTCAGTCCTACAAACCAAATGAAATGCTACATGTTAATTATTTATCTGAAACAAATAGTGTTTAATCCTCTTTATTTTATGAAAATATTGATTTAAGAGACTGAATTTATCAAATTTGCATTTCACAAAAGGTATATAATATAATACAATACATAAATTCATTTTCTTTTCAGCTTAGTCCCTTTATTAATCTGGGGTTGCCACAGCGGAATGAACTGCCAACTTATCCAGCATATGTTTTTTATGCAGTGGATGCCCTTCCAGCTGCAATCCATGCCTAGGAAATATCCATGCACACTCACTCACACTCGTACACTATGGACAATTTAGCCTACCTAATTCAACTGTACCACGTCTTTGGACCGGGAGGAAACCCACACGAACGCAGGGAGAACATGCTAACTCCACACAGAAACGCCAACTGACCCAGCCGAGGTTTGAACCAGCGACCTTCTTGCTGTGAGGCGACAGCACTACCCACAGTGCCACTGAGTCATCCAATACAATACAATACAATACAATACAATACAATACAATACAATACAATACAATACAATACAATACAATACAATACAATACAGTACAATACAATATAATATACAGTACCTATATTTTTAAATAAAATGTTTGCTGAATTTCTTCTTCCTAACATCACATATTAGATAATGCAATAATTATGGGCCTGTTTACACCTCATCACTTCTTTAAACTACTGTTATACGACTCGCCTTAGTGCCATAGTTTGCCTAATTAACCTAGTTAAGCCAATAAACTGCACTTTAAGCTGAATACTAGTGTTTTGAATATCATGTACTGTCATCATGGCAAAGATAAAAAAAAAATAATCCGTTATTAGAAATTACTTATTAAAACTATTATGTTTAGAAATGTGTTGAAAAAATACTGTATATACAAGGGGTCTAATAAATCTGACTTCAACTGTGTTTGTGTATTTACAGTGCTTAGCATAAATAAGTACACCCCTCACAAATCGATCTTTTAAATTCATATTTTTAATAAGAAGCTATACAATATTATATTTGTGCATATACATTAGATTAGTCCGTACTGAAGCCAAATCTGGAGCTTATCTAACAAAATAACTTATGATAACGATCCATAAACTAGTACACCCAAATTTACATGTTAGCAAAAAATATTAAATACAAATTAAAAAAAAAGAGGAAAAATCAAGAGAGGCAAAAATATATATACATGTTATATCCAGCATACAAATTATGCATATAGGCTACACTTGTGTTCCAGTAAATCTGCACTCAAATCAAGTAAATAATAGTAAAAAAAAACATTTATTTTTGTTGTACAGATAAGGCTTCACATTAATTTAAGTATAACCCACACTTCCAAAAACCAAATACTCCCTTTCAAAATAAAAATAAAAATACAATATATATATATATTTTGTTTTTTTCCTCTTAAATATAAACAAGTCCATGATGCATCTGTAATGAATAATGTAATTTGTACTGTAAGAATTGTAATTTAATGACAAGCGAGTGGTCAAAATAGAGCCATATGAAAAAAATGTAATTAAAGCACATTAAACATCGATCTCTGCCATTGCCTTTAAATGTTGCATTTGCACTGTTATGTCTGTCATATAGCCAAGAACACCATGTTTATTTTACTGTCCGATCAGAAAAAATGACATGAAGTGTCCAGGTGCAAACAGCCCATTTAGTGAACTTTTGGATCTCTCGACCAATGCAAGATATAAAGTGAACAAGTAGCCTATATGCCGACCTGCGAGGTTTAAAATATTTTTCTTGCCATATTTTTCTCACTGACACATTTTTTTAGAGGCTCTGCCATGAATCAATTTCTGACGCATATTTTTTGCCTATTTTATATGCAGCATTTATACCTAAACTGAATAGTAAAAAGCATCTTTATTTGTCCTGTAGCCTACATATATTTTCAATTATCAAGTCTCTAATGACAACGGTTCTTGTTTAACACACTAGGCATGTGTATTTTGTGCTTGATTTGTGCGTTAATAGAACTGTATGCAAGATAACATATTTATTTTGGGCATCAAAAGTATGCTATCTCTTTAATTTAAAATCGAAACCATTGTGTCAGCGTGGCTCACACACCGTTCATGTGCCAGTCACGCTTGAGGTGTGAAACCGGCCTTATACGGCACTACTGCAGTTTCAAAGAGGGAAAGGTTAACACTTTCTCGTTCAGATGCAACAAAAAAACAAGTACAAAAAAGATTCAACCACTTTATAATCTTATTATAATCGCTATTTGAAGTGAAAAGAAGAACTGATATTTAATATGACTGTCGCATGATATTTAAAGTCCTAAATGACCTTTAGTATGTTCCACACCTTTCTTTTTAAACCGCTATAGAAAACTCAACCAGAGGGTCATTCAGCTGTAGGACGCTTGCCAAACCTCATTTCCTTTTGGTTTTCTGAGTTTACATTTATTTATAGATGACACGGAGGTACTGCTACTTGTGTTTCTGGGGTATTTTAACAAAAGAAGAAAAAAGATTATTCAGGCCCTGTTCAGCCCTTTTATTAACAGTCATAAAAATGACAACAAAAATAAATGATAAGTCTTGCAGTTTAAAATATTATTGACAGAAAATGGTATGCATTTCTTTTTCGCGCATACTGTTGTGATTAATATCTGGGATTTGAATTGGAAATTATGGATTCCTCTAATTTTATCTGCTAGAGTCTGGTTACACCAGCTGTGCATAAAACAAGTTGTAAATGGCCACTAAGTTACAATCAACGCAGTATTAAATATCTGAGATTTGTACAGCCTAAACTTCTTTTAAACAGAAGTCTATATAACCACTATGTATTTAAGAAAAAATCTGACCAAGGGTAATGTTTGGATTTAATATTGATTGAATTCCATCAATAAGCTTATGTTTTATATGATGAATGGAACATTTAGATTATAAGAATTTACTGAAATTTACAATTGTTTACATTTGATGACAGAAAACATTGTGAATGCACTGAAAAAATGATTTTCTTACTCTACTTTCTAGTCCAAATATCTAAAAATTCCTAAATCAATAGGCATTTTCTAGGCATGCAAAACATATTGGCTTGGTTTCAGAAATAAAATGCCAATATTAAGTGAGTTTTTCCTTTAAAGAGGCAAAATGATCTGCCAATGGGGTAAGCAAAATTATCTTGTTTTTTACTTTTGACATAAAATCAGAATCAGTTTTATTGCCAAGTGTGCTTCACACTCACAAAAAGAATTTGTTTTGGCTACAAAAGCTTCCTGTGTACATAAAGTGACAAGTGACAACACAAAATAAATATTAAAAAATTAATTAATTAAGACGATGAGCATTAAACAGAGATGCAGTTAGTCAAGAAATCTGGATGTTGAATTGTACGTACAGATTTGTTATAAATCTACATGTTATACGGTGCAATGTACAAATTCAAATGGGGAAAGTATTGCAGTGTATATTGATATAAGGTGCTGTGTACAAGTGCGTATGAGTTAGTATTGCATATATTTATTGCACAGTTGGGGAATATTTAACCGTTCATAAGGTAGATAGCTTGAGGAAAGAAACTTTTCCTGTGTCTGGCTGTTTTTGTGCTTGATGCTCTGTAGCGCGACCAGATGGTAACGGTTCAAACAGGTAGTGTGCTGGGTGCGAGGCGTCCGGAGTGACTTTGCGAGCCCTTTTACTCAGTCTGGAAGAGTGAGATTAATTCGCTTATCCCATTGGCAAATTATTTTGCATGTTTTAAGGAAAAACTCACTTCATATTAGCATATTATTTCTGAAAACAAGACAATATGTTTTGCTTGTCTAGAAAATGCTTCTTGATTTAAGCATTTTTAGATATTTGGACTACAAACAAAACAAAAAATCTAAGTAAAAAAGCATTTTTTTGCAGTGGTGTGTGTACAACTCTGCCAAAGAAGAGAAGTCATTTCTCACCCATAGTTTTAAGTTATTTTTCTTGTGAATTTATTTACACTGTTATTTATGAAGTTATTTACATACCTGTCATGTCCATTTGTGATTAAATATTGTTTTAGACTAAATGTAATTAAATTATTTGAGGCTAAAGACGTTAGAATCAACATTAAGAAGATAACCTGAAATTGAAGTAATTGTTGTATTGTGTGACTTAGCTTTAATTTCCGGTTGGCTAACAACTTACTGTCACCTGTTTTTCACAACAAAATTACCAAACACCAAGAATTAACTGCAAAAACCAACATTTGGTGACTGAGCTACTGGTGTATGATTGTATATATTCATTGAACTTATGAGCAGCTGGTGCATCCCTACCCTGGTCAATACTTTTATATACACTTTCATTTTAGAAGTGTGATTCATGATTAAGACACTGCCTGGCTTAAAACAAAATGCATACTCTGATGATATAATAGCCAAGCATTGAATATAGTTTGCATTTGTTATGATAAAGATTCAGCAAACGTTTGCACGTTTGGCCACTTAAGACAATTTTGACTTGAGAGACAGGCCACTCTGTAAACTCCCAACACATTTCAGAAATTTTTAATGGGTTAAGGTCTGTGGTTAACATAATATGGCGCAACACAACATGCCAAAAACATATTTAACACCACAATTATGATTCAATCCCACACTCTCAAGTATTTGCTCATAACTGAAAAAGTGAACGATGTAAAGTGTAATTGTATTTACAGGCATAATTGTTCACATTAAAGCAAAATCTGCTTATTCAGGATGTCATTGTAAACAAGATTTAACTTACTAAAATGGTTAAGAAATCATCAAACCTTTCATCAAACAAAATTAGGCTAAAGATTTCTCAATTTGACTAGATAGCTTTTAACACAGCAGCATTAGTGAGGTGTTAAAGTGATCAGATTAAAATGAATCTAAAACCCTTTAATAAAAAAGACATTGCATTTAAAACAATACACAGATAAAAAAAAAACAGACATGTAGGCACGTTTTTAATGTTATGTAATAACAAATAGTCCTCACTCGAGCAAGACATTATGCAATATTACATTTCAGTAATGTTTAAATGGTTTATTTTTTACTGTAGAATGTTAGATGTTGTGTGTTGAGCCTTAATCTCTGTTAACTCTATCAGGATTGTATTTCTGAAGCAGTGCCTTTAGTGTGTTTAATTTATGCACATGTCCTCAGTGACTATTAAGTGTCTATAAATATTTTGCTTACATTTTAGTTTGTCATCTGCAGCTATTTGGGTGTTTAATTGTATTTATCAGTTTTCAGTATTGTGCTTTTAATAGTCTGTGCTTATAGAATGGAGGACATCAAAAATAAAACAATTTAAATACTTAAAAACCAGAGTTTCAGGATTTTTTAATGCTCATACTAACTGACATTATAGCACTAACTTATATTTTCTCTAAATTCTCCATACGTCTCTTTACTTCATTGTTCCTCTTTTCCAGTTAGCTGTGGGGTCCTTAGTTCTTCACTGCGTTTCTTGTCGATCTCTTCAAGCTCACAGATTTTCTGTTAGTAAATAAGTTAGTTAACAACATATAAACAGAATATAAATTTAAAAATATGGTTCCTTTATTGTTGTTCCATAAAACATATACAGTTGAAACCAGAGGTTTACACACACTAAAAAAAAGGAACATAAACCATTTTTTAAAAATTTAATGGTAAATCATACTAAAAGTTTACTATTTTTGGTCCATTAGGATTACCTAAATGCTTTACATTTGCAAAATGCCAGACTAATGAGAGCATTTCTTTTTTTATTATTATTATTATTAATTTCAAGACAGTTTACAAACATTTCCTTGGTATTTTTTAGCTTTGCTTTTAAACTGTATAAATTTGGTCAAATGTTTTGGTTATCCTTCCACAAGCTTCTCACATTAGTTTGAAGGAATTTTGGCCCATTACTCTTGACAGCATTGATGTAACTGAGTCAGACTGCTTGCACAAGCTTTTTCAATTCTGCCCACAAATTTTCTATAGGATTGAGATCAGGGCTTTATGATGGCCACTCCAAAACATTCACTCTGTTGTCCTTGAGGCACATTTGACAAACATTTGGCAGTATGCTTAGGGTCTTGGTCTGTTTGGAAGACCCATTTGTGGCCAAGTTTTAATTTCCTGGCTGATGTCTTGAGATGTTGCTTCAGTATTTCTACATAATGTTCTTTCTTCATGATGCCATCTACGCTTTGAAGTGGACCAGTCTCTCCTGCAGCAAAACAGCACTACAACATGATGCTGCCGTGCCCATACTTCACAGTTGGGATGGTGTTCCTAGGCTTGTAAGCTTTCCCCTTTGTCTTCCAAATGTAACACTGGTCATTATGGCCAAACAGTTCAATCTTAGTCCCATCAGACCACAGGATGTCATTCAGCAAATTGTAATCTTTTTTTTTTTTTTTTTTTTGTGATTCTGGCTTGTTGATTGTCCCATGTTGTCACACAAGGAAGCAGTGTGTTTGAGGTTTACTTTAAATACTATTCTACTATACTATAATACTATTCTACCTTTTTATACAGTGTTTGTAAACTTCTGGTTTCAACTGTATACAGTACATTTCTAACTTCTCAGGTTTTTTAGCTCATACTGTAAGTGCAGTCACAATTAAACCAATTTTATGATAGTATTTACTGTTTATCTTACCTGGGAAATTTCTGTGTTGATGAGCTGCTGGTACTGGTGACCTTTTCCCAATGACATCATCTCCTCTAAAAATTGCCTCCTGTCCTCAATCTCATCCAGAACTGTTGGTAAAAAATGTCTTTAAATACATATATATTCATGTGTGTGTGTGTGTGTGAATGCACATATAAGCCACTTTAACGCAAATTTCTAATCAGCCAAACACATCAGAGCAACTCAATGGATTTAGGCATGTAGACATGGTCAAGGCAATCTGCTGCAGTTCAAACCGAGCATTTAAATGGGGAAGAAATATCTGACTGCGTGTCACTGCATCCCTAAGGACTGTTTGGTGAAATATTTGACTGCATGTAACTGCATATCAAACGACTGACACGATTTAACTAGAGAAATACCTACTGTGCTGCTGGGTGAGAGCACTTCTCACTGCACAGTGCAGCATTGATGACGTAAGTGTACAGAGGCCCGATTATGGTGTGATTGCGGGCCGTTGAGGGAGACGGGAGGGGGGACAAACGTGCTTTGGCCCGGTTCGAGGCAACTGTACCTAGTGTGAGTACGGCCTTACAGTCACTCTAGAATGGCTCAATAGTGAAAAGTCAGTAAAACACATTGTAAATTAAACTGGCAGTTAAATAGGCTTTGTAAAACAATTATAGAACTGCTCTTTTACTCTTGTTAGAATGACTTCAAATAGGACTACGCAGAGACCTTGATATTTAGGAATGTACAGGTTGTTTTTTAGTTTTGATCTCCACTCTACAACCAACCCAAAGCATTACTTTTCAATATTTCAATATATATATTTTTACAATTGAAATGTGCACATAAGGCACTAATACAAGATGAATTCAAACGAATGGCTGTTTCTCACCTTCCTGGAACCTGTCTACCGGTTGCTCTCTTCTCTCAGTGGATTCTCTTTGGGAGTGAGTTGGCCCAGCATCCTTTTGACCAGTAGAAAGAAGATTTTGTAGCTTTCTCTTTTCCTTCTCTAGATCCCCTAAAAATTGAGAGGTATCAACACAAGATAATGGAAATGTCTTCAGGCCCGTAGCCAGCCTGGTAAAGGGGTGGTTATTTTTTCTTATAATATGGACCATTGCAGCTATTAGCCTAATTTTCTATTTAATTATGAGGTTTGAATACTTTTTAAACGCTATCTTTAGCTGGACTAGCTTGTCGAATGGTCATCAACCACACTTTTTGATGTACAAAAAAACCTTTTTCTAAAGATTTAGAAGAGCAAAACATAAGAATATTACTTATTGTTCAAATACAAATATATTACATCACATATCATTAGAAAAAAGGATGCTGTTCAAGTTTTAAAATAAAAACTAGCCTATTGCCAGTTATTAGGTAAACAAAAATTAGCAAGCACATTCAACTTTCTTCAGTCACACTGAATCAGTAACCAAAAGAAGATCCTGCTTGGTCTTAAAGCCTTATCGATGGATTATTTTCACAATTCATTATGGCAAAGCAGTCAAAATAAGACAAATGAGCTTGTGTGTGGGGGACAAATTTTGGACCTTTGTGTGAGAGATGGGTCTTTCGAACCACCCGAATCCCCCCTAGCTACGGGACTGGGGCCCGTTTCAGAAAGGAGGTTAAGTGAAAACTCAAGACTATTTTAACCCTGGAATGAGAGAAACTGGGTTTTTATTTTAAAATGGCAGATTTGTAAAACTGGAGAAAGTCTGGTAAGTCAGGGTAAGTCAAGCCTGTTTTTGAAATAGAGGTAACTTTAACTCAGTCAGTTACTGTGGTAACTTACTCTGTGAATCTAACCTGATCAGGAGCAGGTTTTATTCTCTAAACGTTCTGTTTCTGTCAGTCTCTTCCCCGTTTTTAAAGACCAAGCGGTATTTCTTGCCTTAGCCTTACATTTCCACCCACCTATTTTAATGCTCATTTTGGAGATGCACATATGAATGATTGATGGAAACGTCATGATGCACATAACTTTTGAAAATACGCATAAAAAACGTGCATAAATTAGTAGGATAAAGTTTTATTTGATAAGAAATATGCGCATAAACTACGATGGAAACACTTTTGCTGAACAAATTACAGTATGTGCATTAAAAAAGGTTTTTTAAAAGAGACCATATGATGATGAAAATGTGTGTGAATAGACAAACCAGGAGGCTGAGCACACTATAACACATATTAAATGTTGTTTTGGTCATTTATTCTAAAACGTCTTAACCATTTCAGTAATAATGTTATCATATTATTAATGACCTGCAGAGTGTCAAGAGCGTCTGTTCTCCGAGTCTCATGGCTTCAAACTCCACCACGTGTTCATTGTGTGTCAGCATTGTCTTCTGAGGCGCAAGTACATTTATTAGATAAAGCAAAGATTGACGCAGCTTCTTCTACCGCAGTAAATTCTGTTTTTATTGTTTATATTTGGCATCTGTTTAATCAGGAAGTGACGATTTTGTTCTCTTTGATTGTTGGATGGAAACGCTGCTTTATTACCACATCTTTTATGCGTTATTCCAGTTTTGCACATACATTTAATTAATATATTTGGATGGAAACATAGCTATTGCCTACATTTCAGTCACACAAAGAACAAAGTCACGTACGAGAATGGCTTGTTCTTTTTTAATAAATAATTAGCTTAAATTCACTGACCTTTGACAGGGACATGTACTGTTTCTAGATTAATGGGATTACTATTCATTCTAAAAACTATTCTTTAGTTCTGCTTACATTCTAAATGTCATATCAACCTCTATCACTTGATCAATAAAAAGGCAGACACACAAGTGCACTTTTACATCTATTAAAACTTATCAATGTGTATAAAAGTGGGAACGTGTCTAAAAATTTTATAAATGTCGCACATAACATTACTTATTATATTATACTTCAATATTTAAATACTTTAAATGTAAAATTACACATTAACTTGAGCAGGTGTTTTCCCACGCTAACTGCCTCTGTTTCACGGATGCAGTGGTGTTGCTTTTTAAAGTATATGGTCATATTTGCTGTACTTTGCATGAGCACATCAAGTTCAGCTGGAGAAAGAAATGCTGATCTCTTTTTTCAAATGTTGCCATGGTCACTGGTAATATCTGCGCTCCATCGATAATGCATTTTTATAGTCACGGTGTGCACGCTTAACTTGGAGTTGCTCTACTCAAGGTTGATTGACTAAACTCAGATCTGCTATTCTGAAACCGAATGAGTTTTTAATCTCTCTGTAAATCAACTCAGAGTTCAAGTTTAAACACTGAGTTGGTTGAACCTCCTTACTAAAACAGGCCCCTGGTCTTTCTTGTAAAGTGTGTTAATATTTATGTATTGTGAAATATACTAAACACAGACATACCAAAGATGCCACATTAAAAAGACCCTTTCTATTGGGACATACGACACAATCACTGATCAAGTTTTAGCTTTGTTCAAGCTGCACTATTGTAATCCTCTGTTGACAGGCCTTTTGGCCATAGTTATTCAGTGGAAGCACCAAAACTACTTATTTTAATAAGCCCAAATGAACATTACATACATAGTTAGCAAACTTAGCCACTAAAATTTCCTTGCTCTGTTAAAAATCATTTGGAAATATTTAAAAAAGAAAAAAAATCAAAGGGGACTATATCAAATTTAATTCTACTTTAAAATAAGGTAAAAGTACATGTTATACAAGATGTGGAGTTTGACCCTTTCTTCCCTGCTGTTTTTGTTTTATTTTTGCACTTACGTGCTGCACTAGGCAGAAATTGCTCTCGTTTGTAATTATCTCCAGCACGACATCTTTCTGCACTGCGCTTCTGCTGCTGTCCTACCAGTGTCCCCACTCTTGTAACTCTGGTCTCTGAAGGAGTATTTGGCTCAAGTGGACTGGAATAAAAGGTTATTGGAAGAGCCCCTCCATCTGCTCAGACAGAAAATAGACATAAAGCATGAGCTCCACCTGTCAGGTATTGGACAATATAATAAAATTACGCCTGAACTCACTTTTTAGCTTATTATTGATCTGTCTCTGTTGAAAATCCGTTAGACGAGATTCTTGCATCATTACTGCAATGAAATAAGTACAAATTCACTGATGGAGTCAATAATAATAATAATAATAATAATAATAATAATAATAATAATAATTAATTAAAAAAGAGTGTTTCCTGTTGAAAAACACAATACAAGTCATCAAAGAAGACTGTTTCCAACTAACGTTACAAATGTTTTTGTTTTCTTTTTGTTTTTGCGACATGTCCCTTAAAGTATTTTAACGTGCCACAGAATTAAAAAAAAAAACAGCGATAGATTCACAAGAATAATAGTTTTTATAAAAACGAATAAATGATTTCCATTATAATATAACCTTTAAATCCATTTTAGATTCTAAATGTTTCGAGCCTAACGTTACAGTTATTGTTTTTAGCAGGGTTGACATGCACATGCACAAGCGCACATTTTATTAATTGTCGTGTGTCTGTTCTATACTGTGGGATCCCAGACTCTTTATATTTTGATCCGCTGGCCATCATTCCTGAAAAACAAAAATACTTGCATGTCATTGAAAATTAATTTATTGTATTTTAGAACTCCACATACGACATACACACACACGTTACCTCACGAGATCCTGTTCACCAGCAGCAGAGCGGTTGCTATGACAACCCACAAAACATACAACTGGATATTTAATCCAGCAAAGCAGGAGGAAAAATGCTGATTAAACTGCGTTCTAAGAAAGTTTAGAGTTGCTTTCGAGAAGTCTGATCTAAATAATCTTCGACATGATTCATTTGTTTTATAAGGTTAACGTCAAATGTTCTCTCCATGTTTTTTTTTTTTTTTTTTTTTTTTTTTTTTTTTTTTTATTGACCTCAATAACAAACATACAAAATTCAACAATTTACACAAAAGAACACAATGACAATAACAGATCAGGATAAACAATATAAACTTTAAAAATTAAATAAAAAAAGAAACAAAAGGGAGAAAACATAAATAAATAAATAAAATTAAACATACATAACACAAATACAGCAAGAGGAAAGGAGGACTTATGTAACCGTGCTGTTTCCAAAATATTTATCATAAAGAACTAAAAATCTATCACTTTTCTTATTATTAACTAATCTAAGAGATTTAATAAAAACATCAATTTCTATTAAAAAATGTGAAAAAGAAGGCTGCGAACAGGAGAATTTTTGTTTATGGATAAAATATTTTCCATACAAAATAAAAAAGTCAATAATGTAATTCTCTGATACATCAGCCCCACCTCCATAATAACAAACGACATCCTGAAGATGAAAGGGTCTGGAAGAAGCAATGTGGTTACCTATATGGAGATATACGTTTTTCCAAAAGTTTTTTGTACTTTCACATTGAAAAAATATGTGAATCAGCGTTTCGTCTTCACTCTTACAAAATGTGCATAAACTGTCAATCTCCAAATACTTTGCCAAAGTACCGTTTACTGGGTATATTTTATGAAGAATTTTGAAATGAACCTCTTTTGTTTTATTGGAAATGCAGTACTTATGAGGTAATAGCCAGGCTTTTTTCCAGTCTGTTGTGTCAATGAAGGATGCCCAGTAAAATTTGCCTTTAGGAACATTATATTTTTTATTTTGAAAAATTTGTCTAATATATTTATTATTACATTTGTTGTCAAATAGACTAATTCCATTTAAAATCAGCTCTGGTTCTTTAATAACATTTTCATTAAACATTAAATGAGATTTTATAAGTTGAATTAGGCCTAACGGAATTGCTTTTTGCACAGAATTAAATTCTTTAAAAGGTAATGGAAAATTATTATTAGACATAAATTGTTCATAAGACAAAAAGTTGCCGGACTTATCAAAAATTGAGAGAATTCCAATTATATTTCGGTTAAACCATGTAGATAGAAAAATAGATTTATTTCTAATTCTAATATCAGAGTTGTTCCATAAAAAGCATTTATGTGGTGAGAAATTGTGGGAATAACACAATTTCCAGGAAAGAAGGACCTGCTGGTGAAATTTTGACAGTGCAATTGGCAATTTATTTGGTAGATAATTACATTTTAAAATAAAAGGAAGACCTCCAATTTTTGTGAAAATAGAGTTTGGAATAAAAAACCATATAGAGTTGGGGTCTTTTAAGCATCTTTTAATCCAATTTATTCTAAAAGTGTTTACTATGTCCTCAAAGTCAATCACTTCAAGTCCGCCCTCTTTTCTACTATTTGCTAGAACTGTTTTCTTAAGTTTATGGGATTTATTTTTCCAAATAAAGTTTAAAAATATTTTGTTAACTTCTTTAGCAGTAGGGATATTAACAGAGAGAGAAAGTGAGGGGTATACCAAACGAGACAAACCTTCTGCTTTAGTCAAAAGAACCCTCCCATAAAGGGAAAGGTCTCTTTGTAGCCAAAGATTAAAAATGCTATGAGTTTTTTTAAGTCTACCAGAAAAGTTAAGCTGTTGTCTAGTGGCAAAATTTTTTGTTAAATAAATACCCAGATACTTTACAGTCTCTTTTACCAAAATACCATTTAATGAGGAATCATTAGTTTCATGAATCATCATAATTTCACATTTGGACATATTCAATTTCAATCCAGAAGCACATGAAAATTCTTCAATTATACTTATAGCCTTGGACAACTGACATTTATCTTTTAAAAATAAGGCAGTGTCATCGGCTAACTGGGAGATTTTAATTTCTCTATCAAAAATAGATATACCTTCTAAGTTACGTTCATATATAATATTTAGCGATAGCAATTCTGTTACTAAAATAAATAAAAAGGGTGAGATAGGGCAACCCTGTCTCACACCGCGGTTAATAGAAAATCTTTTAGAGGTGTTGAAGCTAATTAAAACAGAGCTACTAATATCACTATAAAGCATTTCAATAGCATTGACAAAAAAGTCACCAAAACCAAATAACTTTAAGGTCTGCAAAAGAAATCCGTGTTCAAGTGTGTCAAATGCTTTATAAAAGTCAAGGAAAAGAATCATAGCTTTAGAATGTATGAAGTCAGCATAATCCAAAAGGTCCAAAGCAAGTCTTATATTATTACTGATATGTCTACCTTTAACAAATCCAGACTGTGTCTCAGCAACCAGCTGATTAATTTTCGTTTTTAATCTGTTAGCAAAAATTAAGGCTAAAATTTTGTAATCAACAGTGAGAAGCGTGATTGGACGCCAATTATCTATTAAATTGGTGTCCTTGTCTGGTTTGGGAATAAGGCAGATAACACCTTGTTTCATTGACGTTGTCATGTCCTTTAGATCAATGCATTCATCATACATAGAAAGCAATGGGTCTTTAATTAGTTCCCAAAAGTGCATATAAAACTCGACGGTTAATCCATCATTGCCCGGGGATTTGCCTTTCTTCATGGAATAAAGAGCTACTTGAATTTCCTCCAAGGTCAAATTGGAATCACAAAAGGTTTTGAACTCAGGATCAATAACTGGAACGCAAGTTTTAATTTTATTTACATAATGATCACTACAATGTTTGTCAAAAGCAGAAGTGTAAATGTTTTGGTAAAAATCTGTAACAAAGTTAGATATTAATTTAGGATCAGTGCATTTAACACCATTGATATTGAGAGAAGTCAAAGAATTTCTCTTACAGTTCCTTTTTTCCAATGCAAAAAAATAGCTAGAGTTCGCCTCTCCCTCCTCCAGCCATTTAGCCCTGGACCTAACAAATGCACCTCTCGCAATATCTAGATAAGCTTGATTAATTTGTAGATGCAATTCCTTTAATTCTATTTTCTCTTTTTCAGACAAGTTACCTGTTAGTAAAGTATTTATTCTATTAATCTGTTCTGATGTTCTCTCCATGTTCCTCAGTTTACTCTATGGCAGTATGACGTATTTTGGCGAATAGCCAATGAGAGCAGCACAATGACAGCAACAACAACACAATAATTTGGGGCTGTCTATATAATGTGTATTCATTAGTAACGTTAGTTATGCTATGCTATCTGTCAAGTATATGTATTTGTATAACTGAATTGAGTAGGATAATGACAATGTTTTCTGTGGAACATTGTTAGCTTTACTGAATCAAACTGAGTTTTCACAAACAGAGGGGCCATACTGGACAAGATGCACAAAACCAGTTGAATTTCTACATCTTTTCTTGGCTCTTAAGCATTTTTATTCACTTTATAAAATAAAAGAAATAAACATCAATATACCTTTGTAAAGTTGTCAGGGTGTTCCCAGTACTGGCTTGCAGCTGGAAGGGCATCCATTGTGTAAAACATATGCTGGATAAGTTGGTGGTTCATTCCGCCGTGCCCAACCTTGATAAATAGAGAGACTAAGCCGAAAGAAAATGAATGAATAAGTCGTCAGGGTGGACTGGTCTCTGTTCTTACATGATCCTGGTGTGTTTATGAAGCTTTAAGATCAGTCGTGTAGAGTCTATTGCCATAGTGTCTATTTCTTTGTTTTTCCACTGAGAAGCAAGGTTATTTTAACAATGGTTTTTTTTATTTGCTGCAGAAAAGAATGATTTAGTTTCCAAATAAATTACACATGATTCAAATTACCTGCTCATTCATAGAAACCCCATAATTTGAAATATGTGGATCAATTCATCCAAAATTCTAAAAATAAATAAAAAGACTCACTCATGATCATACACGTGGCCATTACTTTCAAAAAAATGACATTTTACTATTAATTTAAATAGAAACTTTACTACTAATAATGATCATGTGACCAGGAATGGCAAGTCGTCAAGTTTCATTTGGAAGCTATTTGTTTTCACACAAATTATCATCAAGAGTTTCATGCAAATGACTTTAGATGGGAAATTATTATTTACAGTGCATCCGGAAAAAGTATTCATTGCGCTTGACTTTTTCAACATTTTTAAATGTTACAGCCTTATTCCAAAATATATTAAATTCATTTATTTCCTCAAATTCTACACACAATATACCCATAATGACAATGTGAAAAAGATTTTTTGAAATTGTTGCAAATTTATTAAAAATAAAAAAACAAATCACATGTACATAAGTATTCACAGCCTTTGCCGTGAAGCTCTAAATTGAGCTCAGGTACATTCTGTTTCCACTGAGCATTCTTGAGATGTTTCAGCAGCTTACTTGGAGTTCACCTGTGGTAAATTCAGACAATTTCTGTCTATATAAGGTCCCAGGGTTGAGAGTGCATGTCAAAGTGCAAACCAAGAATGAAGACAAAGGAATTGTCTGTAGACCTACAAGGCACAAGGCTGGGAAAGGTTACAGAAAAAATTCTGCTGCTCTGTAAGTTCCAATGAGCACAGTGGCCTCCATTATGCGTAATTGGAAGATGTTTGGAACCACCAGGACTCTTCCTTTTCCTATTTTCCTCTTCCATTTATTTGTAATAAATTTGGAACATTGTCAACAAATCTTTTTTTAAATAGTCATTATGGGGTATTGTGTGTAGAGTTTTAAAGGAAATAAATGGATTTAATCCATTTTGAAATAAGGCTATAACATAAAAAATTGTGAAAAAATGAAGCGCTATGAATACTTACTGAATGCACTGTATCTACACATATAAAACTAA